CCTATTTTCAGTGGCGAATCCCCTTAAAAGATGTAGCCTTACTTAAAACAACATATACCGTACAGTATATATTTGCTCATGACTGAAATTGGTCTGGGTAAGAACAGTGCTGCTCTTTAATTAAAGTGCTTCTACTGCAAATGCCAAATATAACAGAAATTAGCATCTTTCCATTTTAAAAGGTATTGATTCAGACGGGCAAATTTTTTATCCTCGAAATCAAAAATATGTCCCTACTCACTTGTTCCATGTTAGGACTTTACATTCTACTTTACATTGTTGATAACCGTTCTGATCACATGAAGCCTTGTGCCATTAATGAGGCCCTTTTTGATGTATTAATATCAATAAAACCACTGCCTCCTTTTATTAGTATAATCCGTGTCTTGGCAATCCACTGACCTCTATATTTAAAAACTCAGTTGGATTTTCTAGATGGGTGCCTCTGCCTTCGACTGTTTTTGAGGACCCACTCTTCCCCTTGGCATACTGACAATTAATTACCTAACTTGTAAAGTTCATGTAGTAATTCATTAATACTGTTAGTTTATAAAGAAAATTAGATAAAAGGTACTTGGTGCTTAAAGGCTTGGTGCTTTCATAACTAACTGCAAACTCAAAAAAATACACCCACAAGTAAAAAAGAATCAAGTTATTGGTAAAAAAAAACTATGTTTGTGTAAAAACAATATTCACATGAAGTAGGTGATTAGTTTGTTTTCTCGATCAGCTGTTTCATTTCTAATAAATTAATAATGTCAAAGATTTGTGATTTTAAATACATCAATTATTATAGTAAAGTTTTCTAAATATGGTAACTTATTCTCAACTAAATTTTACTATTCCCAGCATGAAAATAAAGTAGTGAGATCCATTATGAGTAAAGTTTAAGGCACACAATCCTTGATTGAAATGTAGTATACATTAACAGTCATAATACACATCAATTATTATGTAGTAGACTTTGACTATTTTCAAGTAACAAACATATGTTTCTGTAAATAAAAATGATCTCCCTTGTTATCCTTATGGAGGAATACGAAACTTTAAAGGGCCCCAGGGCCTCACTCTCTAATTATTTCCTCAAAAAAGAAGGTTTCCTGCACAACTTCACGTCACGCTCTTTCCAATGACACCAAAAACATGTCAATCGGTTCAGTAGTTTCGGAGGAGTAATTGTCACAAAAATCGTGCTTGCGTATTAAATAAGTATAGATTTGAAAGGTGTCAAACCGAAACGATGTCATTTCTCTGTCGTAACTGTACTGATCTGCTAAATAAATAATTCTGAAAGAAACCTTTCGCAATAACAACGAAATGAGACAAATATTTTCTCTTCCATTAAACTCGTTCAATAAAATAATTTCAATCAACATTATATTTCTTTATTTTACCTAGTATGAGTTGTATTAACGTGGTATAGGTGGCTGTGGTTGTCAAAGTAGTAACACCCTCACATAAAACCAGATCGAGCTGAATACGTATCACGAACTCGTGAGCTTCAGGGCGGGGTGTTGAGCTCGTGAGCTCACTAATTAAACAAGCAAGTATAGTGTAACCTCATAAAATACAGGGTTTTATAACGCAACCCGACTCACAAGTACCGAGAGACACTTTTAACGGACATATATCATAAATTGGTATCACTATATCACACATAATTATTTAAGAATAAATTCTCAAGTGGGTATGATGATATCCCTATCAGTCTATTTTGCTAAAACTAGTAAAGTTTGAACTTGGTCAAGTTTTATGCCACTTAGTTAATTCTTCTTTTATCTCAGGAAATTTTCCAACCCAGTTAAAATAGCTAAAATTATTCGTATACATAAAAAATGACGAAAAGAAACCATCAAATTATCGGTGCTATCTCTATTACCAACCTTATCTAAAGTTTATGAAAAGGCAGATTACGTACAACTAACATATTTTCTTGAAGAACACCATCTTGTGGATAGCTCCCAACATGGGTTTTGTAGCACAAAATCAGTGACAACAGCTAGTGTTTCTTTTATAGAATCAGTGATAGATTCAAGTCAAAGGCTTTTGACACTGTTAAACATGAAATTCTTCTTACCAAATTAAAATTACTTGGCTTGGAATCCTTGAATTGGTTGAATTCATACCTAAATAATATATATCAGTTTGTTCAGATCACTCATTTTTCAAAAAACAATAGAATTATAAATCATCAATCAGAATTATTAAAACCCCAGCAAAATATGGTGTGCCTCAGGGATCTGTGCTGGGACCACTCTTGTTTGTATATTATTTGAAAGATATTTCTAAATCATTATCAAACAAATATAACACAAACCTCTGCCAATATGCTGATGATTCAAATCTTTAAGTTTCGGGTAATAGTTTATAACAAGTAGAAATTTCATCATTCACCTAAATAGAAAATATGATTATTTTTTTTAAATCATAAACACCACTGAAATATCGAGGAAACTACATTTCCTTCAAAACAGCTCAATCAAGGATAAAAAAGACCCCTTGATTTTGGTGAATACTGAGCCAATTCAGCTTGTCACAAGTACAAAATTTCATGGTCTAACAATAGATAATAACTTTAACTGGAATGAGCATGTAGGCAACATTTGAGCTAAAATAAATTCTGGCAGGTATTTACTAAGAAGAATTGAAGGGATCTGCAGTGAATCTACTCTTAAAATTATTTACCATTCATACGTTCATTCACACATTTCATTTGGAATTAGTCTGTATGGCTAATCTAAAATAGAAAATCTAGATAAAATACTTAAAGAATAAAAGAAATCAATTAGAATAATAAATAGCCTACATCCAAATACATCATGCAGGGAAAATTTTAAAATGCTAAACATATTAACAGTATATGGACAGTTTATTTTTGACACTATTATGATATTTTAGAATAATAAGAAGGATATAATTTTAGAACAAGAAATACACCGTTACAACACACGTAAAAAGAATGAAATCATACCCACTCACTCACCATAGACTTGAATCTTACACCAAGAAGCCGTCTTACAAAGGAGCAAGTTATTTCAGAAAATTACCAAAAGAATTTAAATTTCAAATAAACAGTTCCAAATTTAAACTAAAACTAAAAACTTGCTTGGTTTACAAAGTAATGTATTCGGTAGAAGAGTACATGAATAATTAAGCATTGTGTTAATTCAAATAAGTTGACACAGATTAAGTTTAGAGTTGACACTATTCAGATGTACTAACATGTACTTGTCTAGTATGAATAAAGATAATTTGATTTGATTTTACTGTTTTCATTTCTTCATGGTCGAACAGCTGATATGCATTGTTGCATTTTTGTCAACAATCTTTTTGGCAATATATTATGAATAAGCTTCAACATGACGTTTTAGCAAGCTCAAAGAGAATAAATAATAAGAAAGTAAATTATTGTTTTAATGGCATGAAAGGTTTCAAATCATGTTTCCATGTGCGATTACACAATAAAATAAATTAACTATTTATAGACTTATTAGAAATGTAAATGCATCTGATTTGTAGAAAACACTGGCCTAAAATGCATATTCCTTGAGTTTGCGAAAACACTATGTTGATTCTTACTCCTGATAAATTGTCTGTAACAATTAACCGTGTATAAAACAATTCAACAAGGCAACAATGCTCATCAGCTGGTCGGAATGAATTAATTAAAGGAAACAGAGCTACCAACTTTATAGCTTCTATTATCCTTAAACAGTGTCTCTTAGTAGTTTTAATTTAAGCTGCGTATACAAATTCATAAATAAACACCCTTATAAAACGAACATTCTTAAGTATTTAAATTTTGCATTAACCAAGAAAATGTACTTTTCATGGAATACATGAAGCCTTTATTTGTTAAAGAGGATCAATAAAGTGTATATTTTTGTTAGGAATTCAGTCTTTAACAGTTTTTTACAGAGTGAAAACGTTTTTTCACACTGTAGTCAATTAACTGATGTGGTCAAAATTTTCGTAACAACATTCATGTTTAGAGTTCATTTTTATGTTATTTGAGTGAATATTGTGGTAATTTCTTATAACAGTTCGATTTTGTTATCTGAACTCTTTTTCGGGTGAGAAATTATATAAACAAGGTCCACATTTCCAGTGAAAGCTGGAAAATGGCAAAAAGAATTTATAACCTGACATGATCAGTTTTGTAAAAACCTAAAAACTTTTGATTGCTAATCGTGAAGGAAACAGTCCGCTTTAACCTCTGAAATAATCGTAATATCTATCCAAGAATAGTATATTACGTTACTAGTCCTGAAAATAAGGGTTACCGGACAAGTGTGGTCGTTCCCCATACGAGTCCGGTAAACACATTTTGGACAAGTTACGTACGATAGTTTACGCCAGACTACTAAATCTGTACATATCCTTATATATTACCACCAACTAAAGGACTACAATCACTAGTTGGTTATGTTATGTTGGTTACGTTTTTGTTTATAACCACTCATTGCCACCCACCTACAGTATAATCAGCTGATTGGTGTCCGGTAAAATTCATTACAGTACAGTAGTACGTAATGAAACCCCATTTGATTAATCTGGCGGCAAACAGCTGTTTTCTTGTCTAAATCCTTGCGTGGGAAGTTCGTCAAAATAGTGTATTGAGGCGCAAACAAATTTATGAAACAATCTTTGAATATTTCAAGCAAAATTTCAAAATGTAAAAAATGGAGGTGGTTGAATTTTTTACTGGTTCATCAAAATTGTTTGTGAACTTTTGGAAACAATATGATTTGGACAAAATAATTTTAATATTTTAAGTGTATATTTTTTCTGTGTCGTTGGCAACCTTCTTTTTTAAGACAGACGTGTTTATTTGTATTAGACAATTCTTTCTCTCAAAATCCCAATTTTATGAAATTAAGGGTTTTGTGTGATGACCACTCGCAATGTTTACATGCCCTTCGACTAACTTTAGCCCTTGTCAGTGTCCGGGGCCCTTACATAAGGGGGGGGGGCTTCGGTGACATTGGATCGTGAAAGTACGAAGGGGGAGACCTATATAGACCTCTTAGTGCTTGAGTACCTCACAAGTGAGCACTCTTCTATTCAACATGAACACTCTGGTAAGTCTAGCATTTTAGAATAAGAAAAATAGTCGAGTAGTAAAAACTGAAAATAATCTATTAGATAACATATTTTGAAAAAAAAACTGTAAAGATATAGTGTTTGCAGATTGAATAGTATATTTTGTTTTTTACTAAGAGGTTAAATGGGTGTTTATAATTTTGGATTGATTATTAATTTAACTGCACATGGATTCATTACATTTTATTATACTTTTATTTAGGTTCTTAAAAATCTAAAATAAAATTAAGCTTTACTGGTATTTTCCTTTTTCATAAGATATTTGAGTGGATTACTCGCAATATATTTTCCTATAAAATTCTTCAGTTCTAATTTTCGAATACAATTTTAATTACTGAATAACTCTTAGAAAACCCTATTGACAAAAGTAGATATTACAATGCTATGGATAAATTATGTAATATCAAGTCAAGTATTTTTAGACCAACGAGAAAGATTAGACGTCAAAATAAGTTTTATACTACTACAAAATGTTAAAAAATTTGGTTCTGTTGAAAATCTGAATTCAAAATTAAACAATTTAATCGAACAAATTGATTTGGTTAAACGATTTTAGAAGATTTTTGATAAGAATTGAAAACAGCTATTGCAATTTTGGCATAAGTATGCATTTTGTATGTAAAGACTGTTACGAACAGGCTACAATACAAATTTAATTATATCTAATAAGTTTTTTGTCAAAATACAGTTGTAGATTAATAGTCACTTTAGGAGTCTCTTTTCCTCCCGAAACGCAGTGTTTATAATGTGAAAAAGGATATGAATTATTGTGTTACACACTTAGCACAGGAAAAGTCCAAAAAATAAAATTAAAATATATCAACGTAGTTTTAATACAAAACGCCAGTATTATATTAAACACAAACTAGTTCTATTACTTATTTGAGTTAGTTAAACAAAAACAATAGCAGGAATCAAGCAAAACAATAATTCTAAATATTGTACAGTTAGTTAGACTTACAACAATAGCCTCATTATTTATCAGTAAGGGAATGGAGGTGAAATAAGGAACAGCTCCAGGATACGGGAGAGGCAGCTTCAAGGACATGCAATCAATGCTTGAAGATCATTGACTTACTAGAATAATTGCTCATGCTAGTGGAGATAGTAAAAAGAATATCTTATCTCAGTTAAACAGATGTCACAATTATTAGATGTAGCATAATATCCGGAGATTTTAAATAACTGTGATTAGAGATCTAAACGTGTAAATGGAACTCGATATAGTATAGAAAATAAAATTAAAAATGTTAGTATACAGAATAAGTTTGAAAGATCTTTCAACAATAAAGTCCAAAATCCATCCGAATTATAATATTTAATTATAATCTTGTGAATAGACTTAAAACAACGCAAAATGTATTTTGATAAAATAAGATTATTACGTGTTCTATGGTGACAAATTATTTCTTGCTTTAAAAATTCAAATCCATGCCTGGTGTACAAAACGTGTATTCTAGTTATATTTGAGAATTTATTCTTACTTATTTTACATACAAATTATGAAGATTCTAAATATTCAAAGAAATAAAATTATGTTTTTGAATGAAATGTAACAGAGTTTGATCGAGAGCAAAAAATTGAGATGTATTTTGGAATCTTCTATATACTAATAGGCAAGCATGTTTTTTTACCTTTTTTCTAAGCTTGTGTGCATCGCAGGGTAAATATACGCATACTGTTAAAAATATATTTTCCTGTAGATGTGCAGAGTCCCTTTATAAATTAAAACAGACTAAGATAAGCACAAAAATGGATTTTTATTTTTTTTATGAGCATGGGTCTTATGGGTTGCCATGCTGGTGACGAAATAACAAAGAAATATAAACGGAAAATCAAAACAAATAGAAGAAACTCAAATCATATAGAAGTCTGTCATTACATTTTTTGGTCGAGTTTTTTACCACTGGACGACCCCTTGTAAATTAATAAATAAACCATCTAATTTTAAAATAAAACAAAATTGTATTAATCCTAAATAAACAAATAAACTTTAATGACCTAAGTTAGTCTATGTATCTTAACGAAGTAAGCATGTACTGCTATTAGTACAAATCGTATAGATAACATTTCTTTAATGGAAATAATTACGTTATTAATCAATATTTGTATTAACTAAAAACATGTTTATGTCCATTGTGTTGAGAAAAAGTTTAAATTTATGATTATAAACTATATTATAATTCCTTAATCATGAAGGAACTCTTTTCCTTTAGATAGTGTTGTTTTTGTATAATTCTAGATTTTAATGAGGTTGTTTACTTGGTAACTAAAATAATATTGGTTAGGTAGATTCATATCCTTTTTCACATTATAAAAAGAAAAAAGCACAAGACTAAAAATAGGTTATCTAAATTCATATGCTGTAGTTATTTTCGAACACATAATTATGTTTGACACATGTAAGGTTTAAAAAAATAAAAAAGCCTATTTAAAATGTATTACCAAAATTGATACAGCCTATCTATTCTCCATTGCATAATGCTGAGAAGGATGTCGCATTCAAATAAGGAACCAACACTTGACAATCCTTGCACGACCACACCTCACGCAAGGACTCACTTTCTTTTGAGCTCCAAACTTCTCTATGTTCTGCATATGATATTAGATAGTAAGGCATACTACAATAGTTACTGAAAGTAAAAGTCGAGTTACTGATGTAGCAATATTTCCGTTAGATTAAATATATATTCGCTCCAATCGTTTTTCTTGTGCCTACTTATTTCTATTTATTTATTATTCTAAATATTGAGCAAAGCACACACAGAAAAGAAACGATATGGTTCATAAACATAAACAAATGTCACCACTAGCCTAATAATAACATTAACATTATTTTTACAGTTCCATCCTATACTATAATACGACATAAGTCTGTCTGTCTGTAATATATTTCGAAATCCAGCGGAAGGATGTTTACTAAGTTTTCGAATTAGAAACTGATAGTCCTAAAAACATGATTAGTGACAGCCAGGAAAATTCGTATTTCGCTACACAATTCATTTGAAAATATACAAATTTAACATTAACCTTATAGGTTGGTAAGTAATTATGTTGGTTGAACAAAATAACAAGGAAAAGTAAACAAAATAATTGAAACACATGTTTACAACAAGCCATCCACAGTATACTTAGCAAATTACAAAACACAGTACAAAGGGAAAAACATCAGTTGTAACTACTGAGCAATGATTATACGGAAGATTACTCGACATTAGTGTTTCGAGTAACTTCGATGGTTTTGTATTGGTGACCTTTGAGTGCACTGGCGTCAACTCAATGTTTCACTTTTATTTAAGGGTGTTTTTTACAATTTTTATTCACTATTTTATTGTTTACATAATTCGGTATTCAGTTGAATTCGTATAAGTTAATTGTATTGCAATAATCTTTAGTAAGCAATATAAGATTGAATCGGACTTATCTGTCTTCAGCTAATCCATCATATGATAGTAATTCAGAGAGTATGCTCATGCTGAAGTTTTACTTATACCTAAAGAAAGATTTAATTTATTACCAAGAAATAAATCACACCCCTTACATACGCTGTAATATGCTGTATTAATGCTATTGTATCTGATTGCTACTAACCTGTGATCGCATATTTATTCATACTATAGGAACTGATATAAAAAATACTTTTAAAATTTGTTTGTACATTGTTTACAATATAAGTTGATTTCACCGTTTTCTTTGATTTAATACTGTCTCTCTTCAGTACAGTATCTTATACATATTAATTCGGATACGAAAGCCCTAGCTCTTTGAGTATGTGGGTCTAATGATTGTTGAGTATTTTCTTTATCTTAATAATTGGGTTTTGTTTACACATTGGCATATTAAACAATCACATTATTCTCGCCTTGCTCATTAAATATTGGACCTTTAGTCATATTTACCGTGAAAATGTGTTTAAATTCAAATTAAAAATGATCTTATGCAGATGCAGTACTATTATGTAGAACAAGGGTAAACTGTGCCCTTCTCAGATGGAGAAGATATACTATTATTAATGACAATTATGCATAAAAACACATTAAAACTCTGTAAGACTAAATAAAAATCGGAAAAATATATATTAAGGTCACCCAGCCACTAAACATAACACATAAAAGTAGCATACCGCGTAGAACCTCGATAAGAAGTCTCTCTGTGGATAAGTGGATCACCAAATAAGACTTATTATAAAGGAAGACTTCTTATCAAAGATTGCAATACTAATTAGGGATACATTACCAAGATGGTCCGTAAAACTACTCTGGTTAAATTTTTCGTTACGATGTATCAGATCTACTGATATATATATCTTTGAATCTCAAATCCACTATATTGTAGGCAAAATGTATGAACCTAAGTGCTATTGATTAAAGAAGATAATATAAGAAGGCCCCCTTAAGATGCCACACATTGGCGAAGTGCGCATAGAGTGAAAATCTAAAATGTATCAACAAATTTAAATACTTTGTTATGACTATAAGAGAATGTTTTTTTTTAGACTTTGAGATCGCGTTACTCATCTCCAATCATACTTGGCTTAAAATACCTACATTCGTATGGTCACCATTTCATAAGAAAGTATCAAAGTATTTACTAAATTCTGTCCACAGCTTCTACTGGTGTGCCTCTCAGTCGGCCTGGCTCTAGGCGAGGAGAAGGTAGCCAAGAAGCATGATAAGCGAGGTTTGTTCGAGTTGGGCTACGGTTACCCCCACCACGCCCTAGCGCACTCCGTAGTCCCCGCCCCACTACCAGTACATCACGTGCCTGTAGTCCATCACCCCCCTCCACCAGCACTAGTGGCGCACACTCACACGCACACTACTGTCACCAAGCATGTGCCTGTCGCCGTGCCTGCGCCTTACCCTGTCACAGTCGAGAAACAGGTGAATATGTCTTTTTGGGAACTTTTTAAATTGTTAGACGTATTAATAATACATTTGTAAACAGTGTACACCTCTATAGTTTTATATTTTGTGCGCTGGACTAATATAGAGTGCAATTTCGTAACGACAAGAGTGGCATTGGTTAGAAGTCTGTCTGGTGGAACCTGTTTTCATACCCTCCGTCAAACTGGGACTGTCCGGCGTCTTAAACCATAACCCAGTCCCTAGGTAGACTGATATTCGGGAGACAGGTTCTATCATACAGGGTATAGGTGGTGGTGACTGATTGAGAATCACAAAAAAACCTAAAATTGATTTTAAAGCAACCTTACTTTAAAAAGTGATACTAAAGGCGGGGTAGCCACGTAGTGTTCATCAAATCTGAAGGTCGCTGGTTCGATTCCTAATGAGATTGATTCGAGACCCGATGTTATTTTGTCTTTGGGCTATCTTACATAAGCTCGACTTTAGTACGAATTTCAGGGTTTTTATCGTTCCCTAAAAATTCTAAACTAAACATTATTTATGTTCATATCTTTGTATTTCCAGGTGCCCGTACCCGTGCCAGCCCCCTACCCAGTGCACGTGCCTAAGCCCTACCCCGTGGTGGTAGACCGTCCCTACCCCGTACACGTAGAGAAGCATGTCCCCGTGCCTGTGGACCGTCCTGTCCCCGTGGCGCACCCTGTTGCTGTGCCGTACCCTGTACCCCAGCCGTACCCCGTGGTCAAGCATGTCCCCGTGGCTGTGCCCCACCCAGTACACCCGGCCCCCGCCCCTGTACATGGACACCCTTGGTGATACTCTGCTGATACTAACCGTGAGTATTGTTAATGTTTTTAATACTTTAGTTTAGAGAGCGAGCAGGTCTAGTGGTAAAGTGCGGGACTTCAGTTCCTGGGGTCACGGGTTCGAATCCAGCGAATCACCAATTGATATTACCTAAGTGATAATGCCGCAAGCCCTAGCCCTAGCCTGAAGTAATGTGAAAAAAGATTCCAGAATAGAGACTAGGATCCTGGAGGAAAAAAAACTGGGAGCTTTTTTTACCAGTGGGTTTAAAGGTATAAAAGTACGATCTTGTTTTGTGGGCCCCGCTCAGGATAATCAGACTGTAAATTTCACGAATAAATTACACTCAAGTTTGACTTGGGAATACCTTCGCATTTTTAATTACTTCTGTAATTTTGCTGAGTAGAAATAGTTAAATAAATAGGTTTATACTACCTTTAGCTAGTACCTCTCTTCATGCTGAGTGTTGGCCTACACAAAAACAAACAGTTTATAGTTATGTAAAATTCTCTTGAAAATGTTTGATATTTCAAAATTAAAATAATTGTAAAAAATCAAATAAGAGATTTTCAGTTTAGTAAACCTAGTTTGTTGGCAATCTGAAAATACCCAAAGTTAGTATTCAATGAAAATGGTCTTCATACGTTTTTTTTTTCTAAAAACTGAGATAATATAGTAATTATTGATATAGTCTTTCGAGCAGTTAAATTGGGACGATGATATGGCGAGTTTAATATTACTTAACTTTCAATGCTGATAAATTACATTCACAACAATAGCGACAATAGTTAGTATAACACATATAGTATTTTATTTATCTTACACACTGTGTTTGTTTGTTTCAGATGTCTGCCTGTACCTACCTGGTTCTCAGGACTGCCTTTAGTTGTGTAATTTTTGTATAAAATAATATATCTAACTTTTGTAGAAAACATACAACGGTGTTCTATTATTCCCTTATATACATCCTCATAAGTATTAAACTATAGAATAGTGCGATTTTAGATATATCTTTTAATTTTTGAATATGTCTGATTCTATTCTAAAGCAGTTTTTTGAAATTTGTATTTAAATAATGAAGAAAATGTTGTAGTTTCCTCTACAATTGGCATTTTCGTGATTAAGAAGCTGTATCCAATCTTGCATCCTGACACCCTTATTTCTAACACTACTATTTTAAACAATCTTCTAAGGAAATTTTTTAAAGATATCATAAAGGTTGTGTTAGGCTTTAATGCCTAAAACAGATTTTTGCAATTTGAACCCCTTAAACATACACGCTGTATCCTGTTTTCTATTAGATTTGTGAATACATTTATTTTATATAATTAATCTATATTTTAATAGTTGTATATTTGTTTTAATTCACTTAGTACAGTTAATAACAATTCAGAAAGTGCAAAGTAGTGTTATAACTGATTAAATGGGTTACTACTAAATGATAAATTATTCAAACTGCTGCTCAATACAGTATATGGATAGGTTCCATGGTGAGCGTAGCAAACCAACATAATATAATATGTTTTTATAACACAGTATTAGAATTATGAATTTAAAGTTGATTAAATAGCCAAAAATTGAATTGTAAACAAAATGCTCCTTATGCTAACTTCGGGCAGATCTATCCTCTTCTTATCTTCAGCTTGTCTATAAGGATGATGATACGGGAATATGTTTATGCTGAAATTGTAATTTTGCTTCAATAAAGATTTAGTTTAGTACAAAGCAAACAAATCACACTCTTTGGTTACGTAATTCGTAATTTGTAGATGATTCTTTCAAAAGGAATAGCATTGAAATTTCACAAAAAGGTTTAACTTATCGATGGTTTGGATGAAATTAGACATATGGATTAAGCAAATACAGTACTACTTTTAGTGTACACCAACCATAACCCCCGGAAAAATATAGGTATAACTTATATAATATATTAATATTATTAATAATATTACTATTAATAATATTAATATTATTAATTCCCAGGGATTTTATGTACTATCTCATGCCTTGATAGAGCAGCGACTAACTGTTTGAGGATTTTCTAGAAAACAATATTTTGGCGAGGAAATAATTTGGCTAGAATGTTAGGAATAAAGAGTTCAAGAGCTAAACAATTGATTTGTGGATTAGTACAGCAGGGAACTTTGCAGAAAAGCTCATTTGTTAACTAAAATTTTAGCACTTGAAACATGCATACAACCTACTGTACTACATTTAACACCTTAGAATGTATCGAGAACCCATAGACGTACATTATACAGGATGCTAAATTACTAGTTTTTTTATAGTTTGAGTGATAAACTATTTTTGAATTTTGCTCGTAAAATTTTTAACACAATAACGTAAATTTACTGAATTTTAAGGGAAAACCCTAGACCCAAATTTGTTTGGTCGGATTTGGCTAGTTGATAAATTCTACAAATTGGATACACGTTGACGTAGGTACTTGTTTAATAAAATAATATAAAAATTGTATACAAATGTAAGCGTTTGACGCAAATATAAGCAGTTTGAGTTAGAATAATATGTAAGACGTTGACATTTAGAACAATTAAGAGAAAGTTAACTGCTGCACTATATCTTGTTATAAAAAAAAATCACTATAAAAATCAAAACGACATATTTGATTAAAACACATTAAGAGTCCTTGAAGCATAGACGTTCTACTTCTAACTCATAAAACAATTAAAATCCACAAAAGAAAATGTCTAATCTCACAGTATACTAGATATTTCAATTACAATCACTTTGGTATTGAGGTGGTAAATAACTCTTCAGCGGATGTTTGAAAATAACAAAATTAACATTATGGCGGGTGAATCCAAGAAGATTGTGTTTTCCACGTGTTGGCTTCCATGGACTCCCTTGGAAATACATTTAAAACATCAAACAACACTTTTAATCTCGTAGTATACTAGTATTTTCATTATAATCACTTCTGTGTTTGAATGGTTTGAAACACTATTTTTGGATGATAATTGACTCTTCAGCAGATGTTTGAAATTATCCAAGATGGCCGCTAGCCTCCAAGGACAACTTAAAAATACTTATTATCAATAGGCATACCTATCAAATAATGTCAAACATTTGAGTGAAATAATATATTATCATTGACTATTATATTATGCAGTAGACCAATCCAAGAATTTGATGGCTTAGAATATACATATATTTGATATGCTCATGCTGTTTTTATTTACTTAACCTTTCCCTTCTCAGAAATTTAAAACAACTCCTCCACAGCAGATCTGCAGACCAAGCAAATTTGCCTGATTGGATTTTACTACACTATTTCCTAAAAATGTTAGATTTGTAAATAGTATTTATTAGGTTAACGAATACTTAGGTTTGCTGATAGATGGAGGTATTTGATATTTCATGTTTTGATTTTCTATGACAGTTAATTTTAAGATTCTTGCTACAGTTTACAAATCTAACAATTTAAATGTAGTTTGGCCGAACTACAAAATCAGTGGCATTACACACGTTTCTCACTTCTCAACATTGATTCATCTGCGGTGACGTATTCCATCATTTTTAACCTATTCATAGCCGTCCACCAGGTGTTTCTCAGCTGATCAGTTGCCAGTGTAGGCTAATAATCGTAATTTCAAATCAACCTATGAGTGCCCTTGCAGGAGAAGAATGGTCTCTACCAGGAAAGACAGTCTCTACAGAAAGGCGGGCTAAGATTTCTCGGTAGTGGATAATTGTAGCAAATATTATTTGAATGTAACAGTGATATGGTACTTTAGCTTCTCTGAAAACGTAAAACAAGGATATTAGACAAGTAAATTTGGTACAGTAATACTAGATTGAAAGAATATGTTATGACTTGATAAAATATTGTACGGTATATGAGTTTAAAGTTTTGCTGTGTTTAATATTTCAACTAAACACACTATTTTAGTTATTTTTGCTATTTACCGCACAGCCAGTTTGCTGTATGTCTGATGATTTCCTGAATAAATTTTATTTTTAGTTTTTAAACTACTGACATAACATTATTTTATCTAACTCTTTTATTTTGTAATCCGTTGTATGATTTTTTGTCGGAAAATGTTACAATTTTTTGTCCCCTTTGATCTCTCTTGTCTATATAAATAAAATTAGAGTTTTGTCTGTACATTGCTCAGAATTATATACTTTTAGGTTATTTTTACGTTTTATACATTAAAGAAGCAGAAACGAGTCTTATCTCAATTTCTGTCTGTCTGTCTGTCTGTCTGTCTGTCTGTCTGTCTGTCCCTTTGTCTGTAACACTCAAGATGGCATTTTACGCAATCTTCTCCGTGAAAACCAGAGTACATATCAAGATCCAAGTCATTTTAATGTATTCACTGGATTGGCGAGAGTGTCTTTAGTGATTTAAATATAGCCTCACTACTTTGTAAATAAAATTACGGACGTTCAAAAATGCAGTTTTGTGCGATTTTTGTCAAATTTTCGTTCAATTTTTATCACATAATCGTCTATGAAATAACGAACAGCTGTTCGGATCAAGATTATTTTTTCTAGCTGTCAATGACATGTTTACAAATGTTGTTTACAAATACCGCAACTATTTCGAATCACGTTTTGAAAGCAAATCCCAACCAAGTGAGATTAAAAACGTTTTTCTTACATAACGGATTTAATTAATCGCAAGTGCAATAATATAGTCTAATAGTGTAACCGTAAATGAAATTAAATAACTAGACATCGTCCAAATCGGAACCAGAAATTCTTTGAGTATAAAATGTTTCTTGAGTTTTGACAACCAGAAAGAAGAAGACCTTGAATCAGTGTTGTATAGGGCTGTGACACTGAAATGATCGTCGCCAATAGCTTACAAAAAAGGTTTCCACTCATTGACGGCGCTTCAATGGCGGTTGTGTAAAGTGTAAAGTAAAAAATCACAACTGCAGTGGGTGATTGTAACAGAGGTTTAACAGAGGAAGTGCTAAACTCGCTTTTCCAATGTGTCACTTTCTGTTTCTACTCACCGTGTGATGCAATCGCTGGACCATACAGCCAATAGGCCCATAGCTCATATCTTGGGTAGCCTACATATTTATTCATAACAACCTTTTTGACGACGATCCTTGATACCGGTACTTTTCCATAGAATACATGGCCTACCTACTTAAAAAATAAAATTACAAATGACCAAAACCCCAACATTGTGTGATTTTCGTCACATTTCCTTCTAATGTTAATAGATATACTAATCATTGTTTAGAGAATGCGTAATCTATTAAATAACAAAAAGTTGTTTGGGTAAGGTTGCTTTTTTTTCAAACTGACACCGATAAGTTTACGCTATAACTTTTTACGAGAAAATCCAAAAGCAAGAGATCAATAACCTCGAAGCTAGATATTAATGTATTTAATTGGTCCGATTTACTGTAGTTCTTAGGTAGGTTCTTACGTAGGTACTGGTTCTTTTCCTTAGAACCGGTAGTTTACAAATTTGATATCGTTGGTGTTGCACCTTATTTATTAGAGCCGTCCGTATTCAATTTAAGTGATGTCTTAACTCTGTATAAGTTTTGCTTTTTCTGTCTGGATTCCAAATCTTAGCTTACCCGGTATGCTAAGAAAATGATAACCTATTTGAGTAAAACATTTGTTGGGCAAACCATCATGAATTGTTTACGCCTTTATATTGTTTATGTATCAATAGTTCGTGGCCTTTGTTGGATTGTTGTATTGTGTTGTTTTGTTGTATGTTGGTAACGCATTAATGTCCTTATTTCTCAGTGTTTCACGGAATGGACAAGAGCACCTTTGATACTGAAAATGTCAACCGGAATAAAGTGTTAAATGGTGAGGTTGAGGTAGTACTTTAAATACGTTTAAGTTAACCGATGTGGAAAGTAACTTTCAATTATAGGCCTACTTTAGGGCTACGCTTCATGGATCTATAAAAGATTTTTTAGTTTAATCATTGGACATATGGACCAACACGATCCGGGTGACATTTAATTGCGAAGCATTTATTTTGGCTTGAACTGTCAGATACTGTATTTGCGAAGGTTTATAATATAATAGTTTTGCCAGCATATCTGCAAATATGCAAACTAATTGATGTTCTTAATCTTAATATAAGAAGGTTTCAACTGACTACTATAAGATCCCCGTGCGTAGAACGGGCACACAGCTAGTCACAAATAAATTATAAACCTGAAGTTGATTAAATAAATGATGATAAATGTTATTTCAATATTGCAATGACAAATTAGGCTATACCAACGAGGATAAAAAATATGACTCTAGATAGAGACACCAACTTCTATGTTCATCGTATTACCAACCAACCTAGGAAAGACTGCAGAACACCGCAGTGAGATTTGTATGAGGTCTGCGGAAAAAAGGCCATATATCTCAATTTGAAAACTGCCGGCCTCTTGTCCTCAGCTGCTGTGGGCAGGAGGCAAACCTGCACTCGTACACAGGGTACTGGCCGAAAAGGAACCGGCCTCATTGAAAGACTGGTCACCCGCGATCGGGTGCCTCAGCTCAACCCGAGAAGACAAACAGATGCATTTCTCGAAGGTGAGGTTGGAAGTATGTAAGAGAGGTACAATATCCAATATAGGATATCTATATATATCTATATTTATAGGAATATCTAGTTATAGGTTAGGTAAGAGAGGTGAGGACCTTCCCTGTGACCTTAATATGCTTACCAAACACACTATTTTATTATTGGTCTATATAGATTTTCGATTTGATTTTAGGTACTTAAAGGCCTGCGAAAGTAAAGGATGAATGTTGAATAAATGAGGTGACAGATTTGTTACTGGCTAAGATCAGCGGGTACTTAACCATCAACTTCTGGCTTTTCACGGGATCGAACCGGCAACTTCTGATCACAATGCGAGCACTTTATCCACTCTACTACCCAGCTAGAGACCAATAGAATGCTAAACGTAGCTGTAAATCACAATAGAATTATTATTTAAAACCTAATCAGCCATAATCGTCAATTGGCAACTGTAAGATCGATTCAATTACCATACAGTTAACGGATCGACCTATGTAAATAGACTGCGATAGAAAGGAACGGATCATAAGCACAATAAGGCAAGATACAAGGTAGGCTTTGCGGCCTTCGAGTAACTTACAACAGGACTTGCACTTCTACATGCGAACTCTGATTGGACTGTAGTTGTCACCATTCATTTCACTTTAGAAACATTTTTCTGCGAATATCATGTTTGAAAAGTAACACAAGTCCAAATTTTAGTCTTCTTGTAGGTATCCACTATGAGTGTTACTTTTGTAAACAATTTATGTCAATATAAGAGTTTACAAGGGCCTATTTTAATAGGGTTTTTTACTAGTTTACAGAGCTAACTGTTAATGTAATACCCTTTTACCTTTCAGAGATGATGCTGGTTTTAGACATTTATTAGGCGAATAAAAATACTGCACTACGTTACAATTAATTTTGTAATTTTTTTAAATAGAAAATATCTGATGATTTTATGTATTTTCCCAGTGGCAAGAACTAGAATATTTAATTTCTTGAACTAAGTTACCTTAAGCCTTTGTTCTTGCAGGATGAAGTTATAACTCTCCAATATATTTCACCACAGTGTGTGGCAACTTCAGGGAGTCTTGAAGTTCTATTTACACATTTGTAATTCATTTGCACGTTCTGTTTACAAATGTGTAAATAGAACTTCAAGACTCCCTGAAGATTCCACACATTGTGGTGAAATATATTGGAGAATTATAACTTCATCCTGCAAAAACAAAGGCTTAAGGTAGCTTAGTTCAGAAAATATTTGATGTTCTAATGTCAACCAAGTATTTTTCTCTTAATTTAGGCAAGACTTCCACAACGTTAGATACCCTTTGGTTTCCAGATAACAGACAACAGTTTACAAATGGGTAGTTTATATAAGTTAGAATAGGCTTTAAGCTATAAACAACAGAAATAGTAAAAATCAAAAAGTCCTCATACCAATGAACAATTTCCTTAACCTTGTCCTCAGTATGTTTAATCTATGAACTGTTCTACATACTCCAAACGGTTACGAACATTCACAGATATATGTCAGCTATGTCTCAAGCCAGGCTTTAACTGGCTCCATATTAAAACTTACTAAGTTCCCACCACTAATTATAAACATGGATTAAACACACTAATTTCAGATTTATCATTATTTTGGTTCAGCTAAACACAATTCAAAGGTTTTTTAATTGCGTCCAGTAGCACATTTAGTTAACTATTTGTTTCATGTTATTTTTAACTCATTTTAAAACTGTTTAGCTAAATAAAACTATCAACTAACCAAACAGTAAAATATAAATAATCATAGTTTTGTTCCAAAAACAAAAGAGAAACAAGACAGCGTGTTCTACAAGTTGCGGTGAAATTGAAAAACATGATACACATAAAAATGCTTTAAATTTCACAATCGGGTGAGAATTTACTTGCACTACATATATAAAGTCAACTATAAACTAATAATCATTGGTCCCATGCTCCTATGACGACAGAAGCACATGTCCTCTACCGTTCATTCTTCTGACCTTTTTAAGCTGCAGTATTTTCTCGACGGATCCATTGGTCGGAGATCAAACGGTCCGCAGATCGTGTTTCTCTGTACAAAGTAATGACACAGACTCGCATGCAAGTGTCTCAGTGACCCAGGTCGACCTGAGCGATTGCGCATGCGCAAGTCACGACCATGCGCTGTAGATGCGTGAGAGACGAGACTGTTGATATGGGAAACAGAAGCAGGTGCATGAGTAAATCAGCTGTTTGTAATTTATTTGTTGCGGATATCTATTATATTATTTAGGTGATAATGTTGTAGTGGATTAAAATGAGCTTATTAGATTAAACTGAAAAATCTTTAAAGCTGTTAAGCTCATATTGGGTCGATTTCAGCTGGTGCAGGTCAATTCAAAATCTAATCTAATCTGGTGCAATTGAAATTGGCATACCTCAAGGATCAGTCCTTGCGTCTTTACTTTTTATTGTTTCTATTAATGATTTGTCTTGTTTTATTCACTGGCAAACCTCTCTTTACGCTGATGACAGGATATTCCTCACAAGTGATCAACGCACTTTAAGAACGGCATGAGCTGTTTATGTTGGCTGAAGAGTGGTTGGGAGGAGTAGCCTACTAATAACATAAAAACAGAAGAAATACATTTTAACCTAAAAAAAATTCTAATTACAATAAATCGGTAAAATCACCAAGAATCCACAATCACAATCCACATTGATCAGAAGCTGAATTGGAGTGAGTTTTCATACTTTTTATTTATTGGTTATAACTATATTTTTGAATTTAATTAAAAAGTTAAAGGACAACGTCAGTGAACAAATCATTCTAAATTGTTATTATGCATTTTTCCATTCTCATTACAATATGCTATCCTCTTATGGGGTCTGTAGGAGCCAAAGCAGTTTTTAAATGGCAAAAGAGAGTTGTAGTAAGGTGAATTAGAGAAACAAAGCCCAGGGGTGATTGCATAGCAGATTTTACATCTTTAAATATCCTAACCCTTCTATTTTTATATATAATATTTTTAATTGCTCTTTACATTTAAAAGAGAACATAGATCAGTATGGTCTCCGATCCGACATACATGCACATTATACAACAAAAAGACATCATCTCAACTTACCACATAAAAGACTTACACACCATAGCTACAAATATCTAAGTATACAGTCTTTTTAACTACCCCACTTGGAAGAAAATGATAACTAATGTAGTATAAATGGTGGGTTTGCACAAACAATTGATTCGTCTGATCTGAACAAGCGAGACACTTAGGACATATTGTTTTTTACTAGTGATAGAACATGTCAACAATATTCCCTTGAACACAAAAATGTCACAAAAATGTACATAAACAAGTGTTTGTAGTTTATCTGTACTCAAAGTAAATTGAAAAACGCAATTACATCACACTTATACAAATGAAATATCCGTCTGTCTACCTATACAGGGTGTTCAAAAAAGGTGGGGACATAATTTACGTAGTGATTCCTTGGGTCAAAATAAAGAGAAGATGAAGAATTAATTTTTTTCTCAAAATCGATTAGTTAACTAGATATCCACCGTTTTGTATTTTTTACATAAAAACCTTTAGGCTATTTTTGAATTTTTTCAACCGATCTTTATTAAACTTGGTGTGTATGTTAAAGTAGAAGAGAGCAATGTTAGAACAAAATCATCTTGATACGACTTAAAACATCAAAATGGTGGCCATTTTTTTAACTTAAATTACTAAACAATGGCTGATTTTATGAAGAAATGTCAAGAACACTTTTACATAGATTTTTAATTCCCTATCAAACGATACCAAGCTCAAAAAATTTGAATTAGAAATAGATTAAATATTACGATTTTTAGTTGTAAAATGTGGTAAAATAAGCCTAAGCTAAACAGGTTTGTCTCATTTTGCAACTAAAAATCATGATACAGTACCGCCATTTTGAAGTTTTAGGTCGTATCAAGATGATTTTTTTACATTGATCTCTTCTACCTTAACATACCAAGTTTCATAAAGATCGGTCGAAAAAATCAAAAATAAAAATGTGTATGTACAAAATAAAAAATGACACGGATATCTGGTTAACAAAACGATTATTGAAAAAAATATTCTTGATTTTCTCTTTATTTTGGCCAAAGGAATCACTAAGTAAATTATGTCCCCACCTTTTTTGAACAACCTGTATATCTATATAAACTAGGCTACAATTTCTTAAGTGTTTTTTTTTTCGGTAGACCATAACTTTCTTATTTTTTCACCAATTTTCATAAATGAGGTGTCATTTTAAAGATTTTTTACCCACTACCCTTGGAAAATATATAAAATCACTCATTTTTCAGTGTTTTTTTTTTCATAAAAACTATCTGTTATATCATTCTGCAAAAATTAAACTTGAAATGTTTATCTACGTTAGTTGATCAGCTGAAACATGGAAATTAAATTAATCAAAAACAAACGACTATTTATTTCTCAAATCTGAGTGTTTGGTTTTTACTTCATACATGACGCCAAAAAACTTAATCTGTGCTCTCTACAATAAATATCCCCGGATATTAAATCAGATTATCCACTTAAAGAAGTCTAAACAAGAACAACTCAAAAGTAAGTAACGCCTGTCTGGATTATTTAGCTTTTATATTTATATTTCTTTATTTACGACATGGCTTTCATTTTGACATACCTACCAACCATGCTATGTATATAAAGAACTTCATCTTTAAATCTATATAAATAAAATTAGAGTTTTGTCTGTACATTGCTCAGAATCATACATTTTTAGGTTATTTTTACGTTTTATACATTAAAGAAGCCGAAACAAGTCTCATCTAAATTTCTGTCTGTCTGTCTGTCTGTCTGTCTGTCTGTCTGTCTGACACACTCAAGATGGCATTTTACGCAATCTTCTCCAGGAAAACGAGAGTACCTATCAAGACCCAAGTCATTTTAATGTATTCACTGGATTGGCGAGAGTGTCTTTAGCCATTAAAATATGGTCTCACTACTTTGTAATTAAAATTACGGCCGTTCAAAAATGCAGTTTTGTGCGATTTTTGTCAAGTTTTCTTCCAATTTGTATCACATAATCATCTATGAAACAACGAACAGCTGTTTGGATCAAGATTATTTTTTCTAGCTGTCACTGAAATGTTTACAAATGTTGTTTACAAACACCACAACCATTTCCGATCACGTTTTGAAGGCAAATCCCATCCAAGTGAGATTAAAAACGTTTTTATTACATAAAGGATTTAATTAATCGCAAGTGGAATAATATAGTGTAACCGTAAATTAAATAACTAGGCATCATCCAGGTCAGGAACCAGAAATATGTGTATAAAATTGTTTTGGAGTTTTGATAACCAGAAAGAAGACATTGCATCAAGATTGAATCAGTGTTGTATACGGCTGGGAAACTTAAATTTACTAATGACCGTCGCCAATGAAACAATGTTCCACTCATTGACGGCTCTTCAATGGCGGTTGTGTAAAGTGTAAAGCAAAAACTTACAACTGCAGTGGGTGATTGTAACAGAGGTTTACGGATGATGCTGAACTCGATTTTCCAATGTGTCACTTTCTGTTCCTACCATTGACTATATAAAGTCAATAGTTCCTACTCACCGTGTGATGCAATCGCTGGACCATACAGCCAATATAGGCCCATAGCCCTTCTCTTGGGTACGTGTGGTACGTATGCTTACCCAATTATTTATAACAACCCTTTCGACAACGATCCTTGATACCGGTACTTTTCCATAGAATACACGGCCTACCTATAGGTACTTAAGAAATAAAATTATAAACGTCCAAAAACCCAACGTTGTGTGATTTTTGTCACATTTCCTTATAATGTTAATATATGTACCAGCAACCATTGTTTAGAGAATACGTAATCTATTAAATAACAGAAAGTTATGTTGTATATGGTTTTTTTTTCAAACTGACACCGATAAGTTTACATTAAGAGTTGTGTACAAATAAAGCAATTAATGGGAAATAACTTTGATTGCCGATAACTTTTTACGAGAAAATCCAAAACCAAGAGATCAATAACCTTGATTAACGCATATAATAATTGGTCGGCTGTACTACAGTTCTTAACTGTAAACGTTGGTTTTTGGTACGGTACTGGTTCTTTTCCTTTTAACCTTTAGTAGCAGCAAGAATCATTTTTACGTACCAACACATCACAGTAATTTACAAATTAGTTATCGTTGGTGTTGCACCTTATTTATTACAGGCGTAGGCCTATTCAATTTAATTGATGTCTTAACTGTATAATTTTTGCTTTTTCTGTCTGGATTCCAAAATGTTATGCTAAGAAAACTATAACGCATTTTAGTAAAACATTTATTCAGCAAACCATCATGAATTGTTCAAACACTTTGAACGTTGTTTATGTATCAATATTTCGTGGCCTATTTTGGTAATTTTTATTACAAATTACCAATCTAAATCGTCTATAGTAGGCCTACTGTACTTCATTTCATATAGCAAACCGATTCAGATAGCATTTCGACAGAATTTCGAGTCATCTCTGGTCCAAGCAAATATAAATTGTTATGATCAAATTTTATGGCATTAACAAAGATTTCAAGTACTCATTTTATATGTACCTTTTTATGCTTAAAGCGTAGCAGATTCCCTAATTAAGTTCGGTATTTTTGTGTGTATGTATGATGGTAACGCATTTATGTCCTTGTTTCTCAATGTTTCACGGAAAGTTGATAATGAAAACCAATGAATCAATGAAAGCCTTGATAATGAAAATGTCAACCCGAATAAAGTGTTAAATTAAGAGGTTGAGGTAGTACCTTAAATACTTTTAACCATTATGTTATAGTCCTTTAAATTCTGAACAAAATTGTACAAATCCCATTTCCGTATATTTACTCTCACCGCTTACACATGATAAAGGTTGTTGACAAACTTATGGGAGAAAGTATGTGTCAGAATGCTGATACCGTTTATTTAGTTTAATCATTGGATATAACATATGGACCAACAAGATCCGGGTGACATTTAATTGCGAAGCATTAGTTTTGGCTTGAAACTGTCAGATACTGTATTTGCGAAGGAATAGTTTTGTCAGCATATCTGAACGTATGCAAACCAACTGCTTTGCTTTATATAAGAAGGTTTTAACTGACTATGATAAGATCCCCGTGCGTAGAACGGGCACACAGCTAGTGTTACTATAAAAATATAAAATAAACTTTTGGAAATGGAACGAGTTATTATTGTATAGTCGTAGGTTAAAGTTAAATGTACACCTAGATTTTTGAGTGTTAAACCGTGTTAACAAATTAAAATGTAAATCATGTATGTATGAGTACTAAAATCATAAAATCAGATTTTATAGTGTATTTCTCTTTTTTATAATTTGATTCTGAGTTTTGTTTGACGATTAAAAAAGAAATAACTTTTATATTCCAGCTTTTTAGGGAGTCCCTACAAGCCTCTAGTATAAAATATAATGTCTACGTTAGTTCCTAAAAGATACTGCAAATGTTTATAAATTGTTCTTTCTCAGAACAAAACAATGATTTATGGAGGAAACTCAAAGGTTTAGGAAATGAGATCCAAGCACTTTCAAATTACACGGATTGAATTTGTATAGATTGGGGATCGGTCCCGCCTCCCCCCTACTTCCGATAAACCCAAGCAGCACAACAAAAACAAGCGATTTTTTCACCAAAAACAACTTAACTTTGAATCTTATCAAACAGGACTTAACACGGGATGATGGTTCATACGGCGGTAAGCCAGGGCGTGGGCCAGCCTTGGGTAGGGGCAGTATTTTACTCCAAATCCGCCTTTTCCGCTGCCTGGACGCCGAGACGGTGAAAGGACAACGGCACTCTAGGAGGCAGTGGTGTATATATACACAACACTGCCTCAACAGGCATCACAACACACATCGCCATCATTCACTGCTTGGTAAGTACAGGCTACATGTTTGAAATAGAAAAAAATCGAATGATTTAAAAATTTTGATACGATTCACTTTATTAGGTTAACTCTCTCTTGCTTGGTGAACGAAAATATAAAAATCTCTCTTGCTATGTTAAAATATAAAAATCTATAGATTTTAAAATATTAGCAGTGGTCTACATGTTTCAAATTTTTCAATAAAAGAATTTTTTCATTATTTGAAAATAATAGTTTAAATACAATTAATTAAGCTTACCTTAATTTTAAAACTTGTAAATCTAATATATTTTTCATCATGGTTGCACATAATGAATAATTAATCGATTATATCTAAAAGTGTAAATGAATTGTGGCTGTTGTGTTTTGCTTGAATTTTGTAAAACTCAATATTGTTTTCGGTAATTTGATTTAATTTACTATGGTACCTATTGGGAAATCTTTTTTTATCTCCATTATTTAAATATTTAAGACATCCGAATTTCTTAAAACGGTGCCTATAAATGAAACATATTTCGCAGTATTTGCTCAGAACATACCCACACAATATATAATTTCATCTCGTTAAAAATATAGTTTTTAAAGTTGTTCTCTAAATGTATCTCGTGTTAAACCTTCTATACATTATGTATATAATTTAATTGCCTAGAAGTTAGATTCATTCACGATGCTCGAGATAGTTCTCGTTCTCTAAATTGATTTGGACATGTCTAACCTTTACCAGAAACTTTATCAGTGGAAAAACGTCAATTGTTCAGAATTCATTTTGATGGATCTACTTCGTGTTATTATTTTTGTAAACAGTGCAGTTATTATTTTTGTAAATTAGTAGGTACAAAAGGTGTCAGTTATTGCTAAACAACTAAACTAATGCATATGTGGCTACTGTATTTTGCGACTATTTATGGCACTATAACAACAAATTTATATTTCCAAGTGTTTATTGATTAATGCATGTGTATTCCCTATACTCGGTTCACAAAATTTTGGTACTTTGAGGAGAAGTTGTACTATCATTCTATTCCATCCACTTCGCCATAGCTTTGAAACAACACCCGACGGATGATCGATCAGCTGGTATGTTGGGGAACTCAGGAAACCTCCCCCTTAAACCGCTTAAATTTCGTGCACAGACTATAACTAGTTTTCACGGTTTTATAAAGTAGAAAGTATACTTTAGTTTCTTAAATATAATATTTGTTCCAGACTGTCTTCGTTGCTCTTGTAGCTGCCGCCGCCGCCGCCCCTGGCTACGCCCCCCTGGTGTACGCACCAGCTCCGGCACCCAAGTACCCAGCACCCGCCCCTGCACCAGTCTACGCCCCTCTTCCCGCCCCTGCACCAGCCCCTAAGTACGTTGTCCCCGCCCCAGCTCCTCACCCTGTCCCTCTCGCTACCTCCTACACTACCGTAACTACCACCTCTACTCACCAAGAGCACCCCCCTCCAGCTCCTAAGGTAGCTTACGTCCCCGCCCCCGTGCACTACGCACCTGCCCCTGCTCCCGCCCCCGTGCATTACGCTCCTGCCCCTGCTCCCGCCCCCGTGCATTACGCCCCTGCCCCTGCTCCCGCCCCTGTCTACGCCCCAGCGCCTAAGTACGCCCCGGCTCCAGTCTACTACGCTCCGGCCCCAGCACCCGCCCCTGTCTATTACGCCCCGGCCCCTGCGTACCCAGCGCCTGCCCCAGCTTACCCAGCACCAGGCCCAGCACCCGCTCACCCTTAATTAAAGGTAAGGTTATATAATGTTTTTAATTATCATTGCAAGTAGAAGGGTCACATTTCTTCTAATGTCTTTCAGTTAAAGTTTTGACAAAACTAGGAATAATTTTAGACAACTGTTCGCCTAAACAGCAGATCGTTTTACCATAAAATTGTTTGCTAACACTTGACTTTGTGCTAAACAATTAAATATTGAAACATGTGAAAACCTAGATATAATTATTGGAACAAGCTAAAGACGATTATAAGGTAACGTTCTGTAAAATGTGAGAAGAAAACGCCTTTATGTTTATTTTATACTTCCTCTTAAGCTATTTAAACAAATAAACTATTTTTGTAAACAACTAGGTTTTTCCTCTGATATTTAGGTCTATACTAAACATAGGGGCGTGTGTTGAAAATTCCAATTTCCAATCATTGTCTGTATTTGTCTTTTTTAAACATCACATGTTATTTTTCCAACATATTCTTACGTTTGTTAATATTCATATAACTAACTGTGCTTTTTTTTTCTTTTCAGACCAAAGCTCTCTCAGTGACCTCGCATCTTCTGCACTTCTTATTCTTCTCTCTAATCTACAGTCAAGCTCTGTCTGACGATGTGTATAATATTTATTAGGTAGCAATAAATAAATATTCTTTTGTATTTATGCATTTCATTCTATAACCTTTCCTATTAATTTCAAACAAATTAAATAAGTTGGTAGACTTTATGCCAGTACTACCTTACTATTTCCTGTACTTACGACACGAGAATGTTGCAAGTACACAGACATTCATGATCATTTGGTTTTATGCTAATAATTTGGGATGGCCCATACAATTTTGCAAAATATAGATTTTTTGTGGTTTTTGCCCCATGTTCACAATGTAAATTATAACTACAAGTAAAAATGTCTTAATCCGTCGTCACCACTCGTCATTGACGTTGATCACACTGACGGATTAAGGTATTTTAAACGGGAACGCGCCACAAAGCAAAAGTACTGTAGCTTCAGTTGTACAAGCACTCTCTTCCTCAATATTTAATTATTGTATCTATTATTAGCACGATCGATCCTGAGTTTAATAAGTTTATTGCAATCAGAAAACGTCTTAAGTTATTGCGTCAATGAAATTTTAAAACGTAGGCCTAAATATGTATGAAAATGTATCATACATTTTGTATTTAACATTATTGTTACAAACATAGCCCCAGGCAATCACTTATGTTAAAGACTTGCTAAAATATCAATACAGTCCTTTTCAATGTCAAATCTGGTTTTACACTTTGATCTATTCACTCTAACGCACATTATAATAATAATCGTGTGCCTAAAATACACTCATCCTATTTCTTTTCCCAAGTCTAACCAAGAAACATTTTAATCCGATGCAAAAAAAGCCGGTGTTGCAAGTGATTTACCAAGTAAATCGTGTTAGAGGTCAAAACGTCTGCACGCGACCAGTTACGTAGAGTTAGACACACAAAGGCTATCGTAGTTACGACAATTTAGTTACGTCTACGACATTACGACGCGACTGTTACTTGGCAGTGAACCTAGGCTAAGACTCAACACTTGACACTTTCCGGGTGATTTAGGGTTAGCCGACGACGTAATTGCTCACGCGGCCTGTCTTTGATTAAGCCATTGAATAAACACTAAATTACGTATATAACCAATGGTAAAAAAAAAAAAAGGTATAGCGTCGAAATTTTGTAATTAAGCGTAGACCTAGCCTAGTGAAAGATGTATGGAGTAAAAGATATGATAATGGACTCTTACTCAAGCATAGTTGCTCCATACATATACTCTATACATCTTGGGCCTAGTGCACGACAGAAAAAAAATGTTTTTCTTTATTTCTCCTCAGTCAGTGTATATACACGAAAATTTAAACACATTTTTTGGGAGTGGGACTATAGTATCTTCATCTAGAAAGATTTTTCATATAATTTATATTCATCTATATAATTGGTTAAGCATTATTTTATATGTTTTGACAATGAAATATTGAGCTAACAAAATGTCTTGAAAATCAGAGAGAATGTCTTATGATATTTAGTTTTGGTAAAGACAAAGACCATGAGTATTATTTTATGTTTAGTTGTTTGAAGATATTTTTATTTAAAAGCACGAGAATGTAATTTATGTGTTAAAATCAGGGGCGGCTCCAGCAATAATCTTTTGGGTCCTTGTAATCTCTTACAAGGATCAAGAAGGAGTATTATCGGGGACAGACGAGAGGTTTGAGAGGGGCTTCCTTGCAAAAAAAAAGGGGGGGGGTATTAAAATTTAAATGCAAACTAATGAGTTTGAATGCTTTCCCTTTATTTAGGCCACATATAATTAAATTACTTTATTTATTTAGAATTTTGAAATATCTACCAACATTTTGGGTAGATATTTCACTCTGCCCTCTGGAGCCGCCCCTAGTTAAAATATCTGATTCTGTTCAATTCTAGAATTAAGAACACACCCATTCTTTTACAGGTTTAACTAAATACCTCAGGGACTGGTGAATTGATAACAATAGACTTTTTTATGTGAATATGAAGTGTTAACGTATAAGCTAAGTTAACATATCTTAAGGAATTGTGGAGTATTTACCAAATGCTGTATTTATCATATTTCATTAGCTAACTTCTGATAGATAAGTTACTCAAGATAAAATAAAATTACAAAGAAACATATCCTATGATGTACCTAGTTTGTATTAAACCAGAGACAGACAGGATTCAGTTTCTCTTACTATTGGAGGGAAATAAATAGCTATTTTTTATGAACATGTTCAAAATAAAATCCGATCACACATGGAATTTTCTAAATCTGCAGGTTTTGCTACAGTGCAAATTTTCTGTACAATCTTAAAAAAAATTACACTTCAATTGTAAGTCGGTTAAGTAGGACGGCTGGAAACAGGATGTAACAGAGAAAACCCTTACTCTATTAAGTATATACATAGTTTTATATATTTGTAAAAAGTATAAAAGCTTAATCTAAACAAGAATTATAAGCTAACTCACACGGTATAAAAAATGTCATGTAATGTCATGGAGTTGAAAGGCTCAGATGAGTGATGTTTAGTATTCATTTAACACATTTAAGACTAATAGTATTAAATTCAAACATAACTAAATATATCATAACCTAAAATAAAATAAACAGTTTCATTAATATCACAAAGTATGTCACTCTTAAAAGAAAACAGGAACAAACTGTTTTCAGGATCAGCTGTGATTCGGAAGTAGAAGTTTCTTCACTGTGATGCATTTTTAGCCCGTTTGGCAGCAAAAAACTGTAACAGAAAAATACAACTATGAATTTAGTACAAAACGGAGCAACGAAAAACAATTTGGTAGAGGAATAAGCGTGATTGTTTTACTTTGAATAAACAATAGAGTGAAAAATTTCGATTTTAATTGGCTTTCAATAATCAGAATACATAGCCCATCGTGGACAGCCCTTAGTGGTATAATTAGAATCCTTTCGATCATCTGCTGAACAGTGGCACGCTAGTGCTCTAAGATAAGGGTGGGTTTATTGGGTAAGGCTTTGGCAAGACTCTTTCCTTAAGCTCTATGCAGGATTCTATGAGTAATAACTGCCAACTACAAAATCCTGACCTTTGCCACAGCAGCAACAGTTGGTCCCATCTTCTGATTTGTCTGTAGCGATGTTTGTATCCAGCCGGGAAGCAGTTTAAGCGTGTTTGGTCGTGCGTATCTTGCGTCTAGTAACAGCACAGTGGCGTAATCCTCGCGATGTCGCACCGCGCGACCAATACACTGATTGACTGCCTTCATGCAAAGGTTCTCATAGTGTGATTGGCCTGCACCTCCTCCCTGAAAATTATGATGGAAAATTGAATATTCTGAACCGAACTACAAATAGTTTTGAGTAGAGCCTCAATTTTTTATGGCTATTTGAGTAAACATCCTTAACACTCATGACCAAAATTTATTAACTGTAATTACGTTTCATACCAGGGTGCTGTCTAGGTATGCCATCTTCTCCTGCAGTTCGGGACTCTTGATGTTGGGGTACGGCATTCCTACGACAATAACACATCTACCCAGATCATCACTGAAGTTCAGGCCTTCACTTAACTTGCCCCCTGAAACAGAAAAATGCTTTGGATGTGGATATTTTAGAATTATTTTGAGGATATCATGCTTGCCTGGATGGAAAAAGAGTGCATTCTGACACAAGAAACACAAATATTTAACAATGTACTACAAAAATAGTAATATATTGAATTTCCCCGGTTGGTAGTTGGGAAGAACATATGTCTTCTCAACATAAACCATCCTAAAAAAAAAAAAAAAAAAAAAAAAAAAAAGTGGATCAGTGACAGTGGAATATTCTAATTTTGTTAAAGACTGATTAGTGCCAAATTATTGTTTGTCTTCATATAGTGGGCTTTTTCCCATTTTAACCAGCCTGCCGCTATAACAAAAATCCTTTGAGTAACTCAATTTTGTCTGGATACCTATCTTAGCACTCTAAGATGGCTATTGGCTAGTTATATTTTTTTACATTTAACTTATGGTATGAAATACCAAGATTACCAACAACACTGAAGAGAAGAGCTCCGTTGGGTTTGATCGCTGGGTTCTTCTTACCAGCCTTGACAGCGGCCGCGTAATCTGACAATACTTGATCTACTTGGCTTGACTTGCGAGGTTCACGGAAAATCTGGAATTTTAAAATTAAATAATTTAAAACCTAAGACACAGTTTTCATGTTCTGAAAGACCAGTAATTATATGTCTTATGTTTTAGTCTACATATTATTGGCCTAAGAGTTAGAAGTAAGAAAACCATTTCGGTCCCATATCAATCAACTCTTTCCCTTTTGAGTGAGACTGAATATTAGCCTACGATTACGACTGAGTAACCAGACAGATTGCTGGTTTGATACAAAAAGTATTAATTCTGAAACACTAGTTGCTGATTCCCATTGGGCTATGATAATTTCCTTCCAACAACAGGTCAAAGTTAAGTTGACAATGCCAGGGTTTGAGTCGTTCACCAACAACAAAACATAAACAAAATCACTGGCCTAAAACTAATTACTTTTAAGCAAAATTTGATAAAGTCAAATATTAAATTCTGTTAAGCAATGGCTTGATTAAATACTAATACGCTGTAGTGAAACAAAAATCAGTAATGACACAGAGAGATCAATAAAATGACTCTAAAAGGTTAAAAGTGTTGAAGATGGGTAGATAAGTGTGACAACAGTAACATAATTTAAGACAATGAAAGAAAGTAATTTTAAAAAGTACTTGTTTATTGTACTATTGTCTTTATTGTATGTTAGAATTAGAATTTGGATCATGTAAAGCTTAATCAACTTAGAAGAAACAAATTAACAAGTTCACAACAAAAATTACAAGCGCACAAAGAAAATTAAAGGATAGAAAGCAAATAAAAAATGCATGCAAAAATAGTGCACAATGTTTTCTCCTGGAGTTAGAAAGTAAATTATTACTACAGTACTCACAATTAATTAGTATAGGTCTATTAGAAAGATTATAAATTTGAATAAGATTTCAAACTTACTAAAATCCACAAAAGAGCATGCAAAGTAAAAGAATATGAGAGGAACCTTCTTCTTCAAAGAAAGTTTATCGATTGTTCCGGATTTTTTGAAGTGCTCAAAAACAGCTTGTTCGTAGTCGTAGGAACAGAAGAAGCATACAATGCCTCCAGGGACTATGTTGCAAAAGTTGTCCAAAGTTCTTCCGAGCTCTGTCATCTGTTGGAAATAGAAAGGTTGTTTAAAAAACATTCTAGTTTTATGTAAATTTTTTCATCATTAAGTACTTAAGATCTTAAGACCTTTGTAACTCTGTGCATGTCAATAATAATCGTAATTGTACTAAAGACCATTTTTAGTCAAGGGAAAAAGATTGTATGAGAGTATTTCTAAAAATTATTGTTACTTTACATTTTGGTTCTCAGGAGTAACTGTTTGAATTCCGGTACTTACATGCATGTTACTCAATTAGGATAGGAAAAATAGGAACACTTTAGTTATTTTATGTATGTTTATTTTTATTTAACACAAAAAGCTACAGAAAAATGCATAAAGGTTATCAACAATCAACATAATTTATTTTTGAATTACAATAATCAAGTTACACTAGTGTACCTGTTGCTCGAATTCGAGCAATTGCTAAGTATTACAGGCGTTATTTTAAAACGAATAACAGTCATAATTTCTGATGACTTTAAAGATTCAACTCAAATATTATGGAACATTAGGTTGTCCATAATAACAATTAAAAATTCTGCAAATCGGCTCTTTCAATGATTACTAAAAGATGCAGATGCAGCACAGAGTGTTAATTCAGTTTTCTTTTTCTTTTTAGTATATCAAATTATCCAGGCTCTCTGGCTTTTTTCCATTTAATATTTACGCCAACCCAAATCCAACCAAGTCAGTAAAAAATGTTTGTGGCAAACTCCTCATTCCCACCACCACCCCTGGCTTAAGTCTGGTACTTATTTGCCAGGCCAATGCCCCGTCAAAATCTTCTTTCTCTTTAGGCTTCAGCCACTTTCAATCCTTGTCCAGACACATTATAATTCCAAAAGCCTAACAGCACGACTCCCTTCCCCATACCGCCCTGAGCGGTAGGGATCATTGAGATTCGCTCTAACCTTTCCTCTCCCCTTCATGGGCAAGTTTTCATTCCTATCCTTTCTTAGTTTTTGTTTGTTTCTTTTTTTTAAATTTAAAAGCCTGTATGTATCCCTGGTTTTTCCTGTGACCAACTGCGTTTCATAATGGCCCATCTCCCAATCTTGTTCCAGTCTCTTTCTGATGTTAGGTATACATCAGAACGTTTACCTTTCAAACGATAACATAAAACACTCTGCTCCCAACGCATTTGCCAATCATCTAATATCACCTCTCTTCTGTTTCCGATGTAGTCCTACCCGCCTCCTTGTCTTCCAAAATCAACAGCTTATGCAGCGATTATCCAGCAGTCCTAAATTGAATGTGAAATCTTCAGGCGGCTGTTGGAGAGCACACTTAAACCCAACACGGAAGGTTTCTTGCTGTATCCGGCTATCAACGACAATAGTATTATTTGTATTTCGTTCGCGTCTACCAGTTAAAGTTCGTCGGCCTCCTCCTATCGGCCGTCCTCGTCGACGTCTTTCAATCTCCATTATGTCAAACATTTCTTTGGTTATGTTTTGATTTTGTGCAAATAAAAACTGGTTTAAAACAGTGAAACGTCAATCTTTTCAACTAATCTAATAAATCCTTATAGCACATGTCTTAAATTTTAGTATAACCAGCTGTTTCAAATATTAGTGTCAATTTCAAACGATTCATCTGTTCAAATGTAAACAAACATTTTCTCACTAAGAATCACATGGGAACTTTGTAGGCCACTGGGGCAGAGCCCTGATGGAATTCCAAAGTTTTTTTTGCTTGATGGCAAAACTACATCCTAAGACCTTTCTAACGACACCTTGGACATGGTGATCGGTAGCACCACCGCTCCAAAACAATTATGACAAAAATATGTCTAGCGTATTATATATATAGATTATGAACCCATTTGAATAAACAAAAACACTATGTCCACCTAAAAAAGTCTAGGCTACAAGTACAACACTGGGCAAGTGTTTAAAATGATGAGGTATTTTAATTCATCTTTAAACTATAACCATTAACTATAGTCTAAGCTATAACCCAGATGGTCAGAAAATGCAACCCTATTCAGTTATATTATAACTCATAATAAAAGATTATTAAATTAATTTATAGGAAACTATTTAAACATTTAAAACTAAACACAAACAAGTAAAGACAACTTTTTGGACCAAAACATGATGATGTAATTTATTGGGTTAAACTATTTTTCAAATTTGAATAATTAAGTTGCATTATTTGTAATATTATTCAAACAGACCATGAGAACCTTAAAAAATCCAGGCTAAAACACAACTATGCACATACTAAAAATAACTGATTAGAAGGTAAGTTGGTTAGTAAATGCAATAATCATAATTTTTGATAATCTAAGTATTGAAATGAAACGTGGAAACACTTACAATAGCAACCGAGTTACGATTCTGGTAGGAGAAATCAAAAGGTTTGTTGGTCGGGCCTGAAGTGAGGACAATAGGCAGTATGTGTTCCGGTGGTATGACATGACCACAACTAAACTGTGTGACCCTCGTAGTATCAGCTCCGGCAGCGGCAAACAGCTGATCTTTGAACTCAGAGATAGGCTGCATGGTGCCTCCACACACCACTACACTCCTGCGTAAAAAAAAACTGGCAATAAATTTCAATTGGTAATTTTTGTGCAAAAAAGATTCTTACACCAGCTGTATTTGCATTTATATTTGCATCAGCTCATTTAAAAAATTCCTTTGTACATTAAGAAACAAGTAAAATTTTTTATTATTTTTTAGTGTTGAGCAGAATGCACAAGTGCACAAGAACCCTTTCCCCACTGCTTTTGTTACTATATACAGTATTTTCAACACTTAATTGATATTGGAATAGTTTAAAATTTAATACCCACCATGGTGGATTTAAATTTAAATCTAGTGGTGAGACTCTGGGGAGTGAGCTGGTTTAGTGGTAAAACCCAGGACTTAAATCCCTGAGGTAGCGGTTCAAATCCACCAAAATGACCAACAGACTTTATCCAAGTGATGCTCCAACCCCTATCTAGCCTGAAGTTGTGAAATACAATCCCATGCCAGTAACACCCAAGGACAAAGCAACAAAAAGTAGTGAATTACAGGGTTGTTGGAGCTTTTTCACTTATCCTCAACACAAAATGCACATGTGTGTACAAAGAGAAGTAAGGTAAAGATTAAACATCCAATGGTACACTTGTGGTGTCTGCACTAGTCGCTGGTGTCTGGGACAATGTCCAACACCATTCCCTTTGCCCTCATGTACTACAAAGCTCATGGTGGAGGAAGACACTGTGTCACGTGCGATAGGTATTTCCAACCGAACAGTGCTCGCCGCTCGGACCCTTCCTTGCTTGTATATTTCCGGCACAATTTACTAGAGTTGAAAGCGCACGGTCTTCCCATCATGTTTCTTCTCTACCTTAACTTCTCAGTGGCAACAACAACAACAGGTAATGTAAAAAATAATGCCAGGAAACAAGATGGCAGTATTATCAAGCACTATGTCAAGCTAAACGTCTGTTACTTTCTGAATAGTTCTCATTCATGATTGTTTGATTGGTTAGTCACTCCAACTGCATAAAAATATGATTTATTGCAAATGAAATGTAAATATGATAATCACTAGCAGAGTACCCGTCCTTCGTACGGGGTTGGCATATAAGTTTAAATTGCTTATTGCAGTTATACTCAAGCTTTGCGTTTGCAATGGGGGAGGACAAAGTTTGATAAAATTTTCTTCTTTAAATTGACGGTATACTATGGTATTACACATCTACCATAGCCATTATGTTCTACCTCTTCACCTAAACAATAAAGAAAAATAAAGTATTACAAATTAACAATATTATTATTACAAATAACTGTAAACAATCCTACTTTGACAGTTCTCATTGCGTATCACAGTTGTTTGTTGCTACTTAGTTCAAATTAGCTGTTTAGATAAATGCAAAAAAATATACCGCTGCACCCTGTTCGTAAATCTTATAAATTTTTAATGCTTTTGTATATCATAGAACCAACTTTCTTTTTTAGTTGAAACAGCTTACTAAATTAAAATTCTTTAATTCCCTTTAAATATGAATACTCATAAGGTTAACATGGGGAACTACAGAGCCACTGGGGCGGAGCCCGAAGGGTTTTTTGAGATAAGAATTAGTATGTAATGAATGAATTAGATAGTATGTATGAATTAGATAGTGAACTTGACTATTTAATATGTGAACAGGTCTGAAGTATCCAGTGCATTTAAGAAGTTTTTTAATATATTCTAAGTATTGAATAGTGTTTAAAGTGCTACATACCTTAAATTTAACCATATATAAACATTTATAAGTGATGAATTCCGTAAAGAAAAACACAAGTTACAAGAATATTTGAAAAATAGTTTTACACTTTCTACAGCAGGCCAAAACACATTGTTACACTGACTGGAGCAAACTGGCAGGAAAAGTATAAAGTCTTATTCATAAATTATTAATAAAGGTAAAAAACATTTTGAACTTAATTTCTTAGCAAAATAAAATAATATTTTTTCTTTTAACACAATGAAAATTTTAATTTGTAATTTAAATTTTATAAGAGATACCAACTACGGAACTCAAGAACCACAAGTAAACCTGTAACCTAAGGATAACCTGTTGGAGTTTGAAACCTGCTTCAGCAGAATCGACAGACTCCTTATCAGCTGCTTTGTTTACTCGGAGAACTGACCCTTCAACTGACCTACTAATAGAGCTATTGCCACAATATTCAAATATTTTATCACTTCTCATTACAGAATAGAGAACTATTGTTATTTAAGATATTACATAAGGACAGCAATTTAATATTTTAACTGTAAATTAATATAATTATTTTACTGGAAATATAAACTGCAATCAAAAGTAGTTTTGATTTTATTTTGTGTTTATGTTTTATACTTTTTGATATGGATAGCAAGGATAAAAAATGTATGATTCCCAAAGGGTGGAAAAGAGAGGAAATAGTTAGAAAGAAAGGGATTCATAAAGGAAAAATTGATGTATATATAACCTCACCGTCAGGCAAGTTATTTCGTTCTAAAAAAGAACTAGCTAAATACATTGATGAGAAAAAACTTGTGTACAAAATTGAAGATTTCAATTTTTCTGTTAAGAAAACAAATCAAAATTTTCTGTTGGAGCCTCCTGGTGATATAAAGTCTGTTGATATTTCTACTTGTACAGATAGTGTCAGTGTTTGTACTTCTGACGACTCATACAGCTTAAATAGTTTAAATAGTGTAGAAATCATATCTGACTTGCAAAATGATTTTTCAATAGAACTGAACGCTGGAACTCCCCTTAGTACACAGCCCATTGTTGATTTCGACAACCACATAGCATCTAGTAATAGTACTCCAATGCATAAAGATTCATTTGTTGTAAATAAACTAAACAACATTGAGAAGAACTCCAAAATTGCAAAGGAAATTCAAACTGATGTAAACACCGGTCATTGTATGTCTTTGCTTAACAACGAATGGTTAAATGATGATATGATTAGAATTTATCTTGAAATGCTGAATGATAAAATAGTAAACAATGAAAACATCTATTTTATAAACCCTGTTGTAAGCCAAGCAATCAAGTGCCTAGATGATACAGATTATTTAATAACACCTCTAAAACTACAAGAAAAATAATTTATATTAATACCAGTAAACGATGCAAAAGCTGTTTGTGCAGTGGGTGGCACACATTGGAGCTTATTATTGTATCAAAAATCAAGAAACACTTTTTACTACTTGGATTCTTCAAAACAATACAACTTGGAATCTGCTAAAGAAATTTTCCTGAAAGTCAGTAGAGTCATTACAGATAGTCCCGAAAATGCAAATTTTCATATTGTCAACTGTCCACAGCAGGACAATATGGTGGACTGTGGTGTATATCTGCTTCTGTTTGTTGACCACATAGTGAAGGGAATCCTAAATAACAATATTGATCTAGCTCTCCAACAGTTTCATGAACTAAAAATAAACAGGACTCAAGTAATCTCCAAACGAGCCACCCTTGCCTACCTAATGTACAACAGTCAACACTTGTTCATTGAAGCACCTGATGTAAAAAAATTGTTCTTTGAGCAGTGCATGCCTCAGACCTGCTTAACAGAGCCTACACCTCAAGTCACAGACATCCAATCCACAACATCTACGGAGCCTAAAACTAAAGAAAAAGGATTTTTAATCAGAAACAATAATAATAGCCAAAAATGGGAACAACCTAAAAAAGTGTCAAAAGCAAAGCCGCATCCAAAAACTAACCTTAACCTGAACACCACTACAATACAAACAAACAACCGCTATGATGTATTACATCATAATCATGGGGCAGAATACTTAGAAGATACCGGTAGATCCAACAACTTCACAAGCCCAGTACAAAGTACAGCAAAAGATAAAAGAAGATCTGCTGTGCCTAAATGGATCCATGACAGGGAAAATAGTACTAAAATGGAAATAGAATTATATGCAGATAGTCACGGAAGACAGCTTCCTGAAATAATAAATTTCTGCAGTAAAAATAAAATAAAAGTTAGTGGCCAAGTGATGCCCGGGGCAACTACCGAAAAAGTGTATAATGAGGCAATGAGAAGTAGAATTAGAAACAAGATGCTGCTTTTAATATCGGGCTCAAATGACGTAATTAAAAAGACAACCAATAATATCTATGAAAACTTAGAAAAGTATCTGGAAAACTTGATTGCTGGAGACAACAGTAAAACAATAATAGTCACTACTATTCCTCACCGCTATGATCTAAATCCAAAGGACTCAGCCCATGATCATATAACCATGATCAATAACTATATCAAAGAAATTACGGTAAGAACTCCTTGCGTAAAAGTTATTGATCTTGACGAGCTGGAAAGGTTTCATTTTACCAATCATGGGTTGCATCTGAATCATCGTGGAAAGAAAAAGCTATCCTACATGATAACATCACTCATAAATAAAATTAAAATAAACAACGTCACACATGTTATTGGAGGTGATAGGCATGTAAATAGTAATTCTGTAAATAGTAAATCTGTAAAAAATAGTAAATCCGTAAATAGTAACTCTCCCAGACAGATAAGAAATTCAGCTGGTATTAATATCATCCAAGCAAACATGAAGGACATTATAGATGGATTTCAGAACAACGAGACTGTGGGTTTTGCGCATACAATATCAGCTGACCTGGATAGTGAGAGGAGTATGAGTGCTGGGGTTGCGGTTACCTTCCGGAATCAATTTGGCAAGCCCCTCCTTTCAAATTGCCTTAGCAGTCACTTGGCATATCAAAAGGTGAATAAAGGAGCAAGCATATTTAGTCTCATTACAAAAACTAAATATTTTTTGAAACCTACAAAATTTGACTACGACTGTGCTTTTGAACAACTGACAAATGAATTTAAAAAGACAGCTTAAGATACTTATATGTTCAGCAATGGGTTGCGTTAGAGATCAAATATGGCCAGATCACTTTATACAAAACTTAATAAGATTTCAAAATAATACTGGAGCAATTGTAAATATTATCTGCTATTATCAAAACTCAAATAGGCTTTTATACAACGGTGTACCCTATAACTATTTTCTGAAACGTCTACAACAAATTATTGATGTCCATCACACCCAACAGTCTTCCCCTATCAGCGAGCTTCACTTGGAATCATCTGCATCCGTTTCCAATAGATCGACACTAGACCAAAGAACTTCACCTAAGCCGACTCACAACAGCCCAACCTCCACTAGTAACCCTGCCAGTCCAAAAGTCACTCCTGGTGATCTTCAGTTTAGTGAAGTGGTCAAGCTTCCGGGAAGTGTTAAAAAGCAGAGCAGTGGCGCATTAGAGAGTGTAAATAGTGTAAATATTCAAGTTCCACCATGTCAAATGTCTTTAAATAATAGTAGTTTTTTATGAATACCAATTTGTCATCAATTTTGAAGGGGGTTAGCTTTAAGTATAAGAGTATATCATGTGTTAAAACTTATCCAGAGTTTCCAAAAGAATCCAATTCAATCCATACATTAACTACTAAACAAAGAGAAATTGAAGAAAATTTCTCTTACCCCAAAGAAATAATTCCTTTAAATGTTGATAAAAATTCATCTTTTTTAAATGCTGATAAATCCTCTAAATCCTCTAATGTAAGCCTTTTAGACCAAGATAACTACTGTGTAAATTGCAAAGAGTGTCATTTTGATCTGTATAAAAAATGTGTTAAGTGGGAATATGGTCAAACCTTTTGTGCAAATAAGAAAAATGCATTTATCATGCACTTGAATATTCAGGGTGGTCTGGTGAAAAAACTGCATGATATACACTTATTTTTGGATGATTCAAATGTTGATGTAGTGTGTTTGAATGAGCATTGTTTACAGGATAATCAAATAAATTTGTTATCAAGTCTAAACAAATATAAGTTAGCAGCTTATTATTGTAGAAGCTCAATTGCAAGGGGAGGTTCATGCATACTTTTGAAACTTGATTATGTTTTTAAAGAAATGACAGATTTATATATATACAATGAAGAAAGTATTTTTGAAGTTTGTAGTATTGAAATACCTATTTTGAATGTTATTATTGTTTCAATTTATAGAACTCCATATGAGAATAATTTTATAATATTTATAGATAAATTAGAATTGCTACTTTCTAAGCTACAAAAATATGTAAAAACTTATCAGATTTGTATAGCAGGAGATTTTAATATAGATATTTTAGAAACCTGCAGCTCACCCAGCCATAAAACTAGGTTTTTAAATTTAATCAGCATGTACGGTTTTACAATTAATTTTCGTTCTCCAACTAGAATAACTATAAATACAAGCTCATGCATTGACAATATTTTAACTAATGACAACTTTGTTTTTAACCAGAATATAAGATCTAAAATGAACCTTGAACTAGGTGTTTCGGATCACAGGGCACTTTTTATTGAAATTTCAAGAAATACTGCACTTTGCAAAAAAATACAGTACAAAAAAAGATTATTTTCAAAACAAAATAAAGCGCTTTTTTATCAACACATATCAGGAGTTAATTGGAATACATTGCCTCAACAAGATGCTCAAACTAATTTTAACAATTTTTTCAATCAGTTGTTAGTAAATTTTGATAAATGTTTCCCTCTTAAATTTTACACTAACAAACCACCCAAAAATAAATATAGGAAAAGCTGGGTGACTAAAGGTATTAAAATATCAAGTCAGAGAAAAAGAGAGCTAAGCACTATTGCCAAAACGGTTCAAGATGTTAATTTTAAAAAGTATTACAAAAACTATAGAAAAATATTTAAAGCTGTTTGCGATAAGGCTAGGAAAATGTTTAATTGTAAAGTTATATCATCTTCAGATAATAAGAGCAAAGCGGTGTGGAATGTTGTGAAGTCTGAACTTGGAGTCCTGAATTCCAATCATTTGGATTTCCCTGATTTGTGTGTCAGAGACAAGCAATTAAAAGATAGACAAAATGTGGTAAATTTTCTCAATGATAAATTTTGTAACATTTACAAAAATATAAATTGTATGCCTTGCTTACACACTGCAACTAATTTGATTAATAATACTAGTAGGCCTAATAATATAAGAATGAAATTTCAGTTCAGACATGTATCGATTTTAGAAATTAAAAAAACCGTTAGAAATTTAAAAAATAAAAAATCTTCTGGATGGGATGAAATTCCTATTGAATTAATTAAAAATGTCATAAACCATATTGCAGAGCCTCTGTGTCTAGTAATCAATCAATGTTTTGATGAAGGAATTTTTCCCTATCAATTAAAAAATGCTGAGCTGAAACCACTTTTCAAAAAAGGCTCAGTAATGGACCCTGATAACTATCGTCCTATTTCAATACTCCCATCTTTGTCTAAAATCTTTGAAAAAATTGCTTACAACCAAATCTATTCATATTTCGAAAATAATGATTTATTTACCAATAAACAATATGGTTTTAGATCTGGGAAAAACACTATATCTGCTGTCTCAGATTTCATAAATCAGGTTTCTGATGGCTTGGATGGGTCTCAGAGCACAGCTGCGGTGTTCTGTGATCTATCCAAGGCATTTGATTGTGTAAATTACAATATATTAATGAGTAAACTTAAATATTATGAATTTTCTGATATGGCTTTGTCTTGGATGCATTCATATTTGACTAACAGACATCAAAGAACAATAATCGTAAAAAATGGTAAAAAATGTATTTCACAGTGGCTTAACACTAAATGTGGGGTTCCGCAAGGGTCAATACTAGGCCCCTTGCTATTTTTAATATTTATAAATGACTTACCTCGAAATGTATCGTCTAACCTTATCTTATATGCTGATGACACTACAGCAATAGTTAAATCAAATAATTTGCAAAATCTTAAACAAGAAATCAGTCTTTCTATTCTTAATTTATCTAATTGGTTTACAGCCAACGGGCTAAAACTTAATAATTCTAAAACACAGGTGATGTTATTTCAAACAATTCAGAATAGGCAAAACTCCACTGTTGAATTATCTTATGATAATAATATTATATCCTTTACTGAAAATGCAAAATTTTTGGGTTTAGATATCGATAAGAATTTAACATGGAAAACACACATAAAAATGGTAGTTGGTAAATTAAATACGGCTTGCTTTCAAATGTATGTTTTGAGAAATGTAATAGATTTAAAAACTAAACTCACAGTGTACTATGCAATGTTCTTTTCTGTCTTGCAATACGGGATTGAATTATGGGGAGCAACTTCTTATTCTAAAGCAGTTTTCAAAATTCAGAAGAAATTTATAAGGATTTTATCATTTATGCCTAAAAGAACCTCATGCAGAGCTTTATTTGCTAAATATGAGATATTAACTTTGCCTTCACTTTATATATTTAAAATGATGGTGAATTTTAAAATTAATTATCAAATGTACAATGATAAACAAATCAGTCATCCATATCTTACACGCTCAAAAAATTTTCAATATCCAAGACATCGCCTTTGTTTATATGAAAGATCTCCTTATTATATGGGATTAAGGCTTTACAACAGTCTACCCACTAATTTTAAAGAAATTAACAGTATTTCAAAATTTAAAAATGATTTCAAACGATACCTTTTACAGAAAAATTATTATAATATTTCCGATTATTTAAATGATAAGTAAATATATTTTAGTTTAAGCTATGTGGATTTTAGTTTTGTTATGTAACTTAGTGTTTAAGATCTCTGACAATATCACCTGTTTCACCAGCTAACGCTGGATCTGTGAAATGTTTTGTGATAATAAAGTAATATTTCATTTCATTTCATTTCATTTCATTAGTGATGTGACGAGTTGAGTTGGCGAGTCGAGTTGACTCGAGTCAAGACCCGAGTCGAGTCAACTCAATTCCAACTCGAGTTCTTTTACGAACTCGTACGGAGATTGCCGAAGCTACACGAACTCGTAACGTTACAAGTCCGACTCGCAAAAGCCGAGTCAAGAAACCGAACTCATACGGAGAAAGCCGAACCTTAACGAACTCGGGACGTAACGAGTTGACTCGAGTTTACTCGTACTCGCTTTCGGCCAATAGCGTCACAGCTTTACGAGTCGACTCGCATAGATCCAACGCTATTGGCGGAACGCGAGTTGAGTTGACTCGTATAACTGAAACCCTATTGGCCGGTACCGAGTCGGCCGACTCGCAAAACTAACGAACTCGTACGGAGAATGCCGAACTCACACGAACTCGGAACGTCTCGAGTCGAGTCGAGTCGACTCGTAAAGCTGACACGCTAGCCGGTACCGAGTCGGCCGACTCGCAAAACTAACGAACTCGTACGGAGAATGCCGAACTCACACGAACTCGGAACGTCTCGAGTTGAGTCTGACTCGACTCGTAACTCGAGTTCACGGCAGTTGGCGAGTCGAGTCACTCGAGTCAGGAAAGTACTCGACTCGTCACATCACTAATAAGAATATGCCTATATGTGAATCGGGAATGTGAGCTATCATCATGCCAAATTTCAACCCAATCCATCCAGTGGTTTATGCGTGATTGACCTTCAAACACACAAACTTTCACATTTATAATATTAGTAAGATTACTCTGGCTAATCAAGTTTACAATAAATAAATCAAACCATACAAGTTATAAACATGTTTATTTACCTTGATTGGCTTACGATGTCGGTGAAATGAGCAGCTGGGTTGAGAAGGAGAAATTTCAGCGATCCTCGACCTGGGTATGAAATAGGTTATTTCAACAATTGAGGGTACCACCCTGAGAATGTATATCTAATGTCTACTTTAATCATGAAAAATTCATAGACTGAAGTAATTAAGGATTGTTATTTGTTAGAGCTTTATATTAATGGAAACCAAGTGGATGGTTAGGAGCCATTTGGAAATTGTTAGAGCTCACAGCTCAGCTAACTTATCCAAGAAAATTTGAATCCAGAAGAAACAGAAAAAAAATACCATACACTGAAGATTACTATTGTTACCAACTGATAACCTTTTGAGGAAGATTACCTTTTGTTTACTTTAACTGCTATTTTTCTTTAATCAAATCTCTGAAGAATGCATATATTAGGACAAAAAAATCTTTGTCGTGTATTTTACATTTAATCAATCGTATATTAATTAGCCACTGCTCCTTATTTTCTGACAGAAGCTAGCAAACATTCATCCTAGAAAAACATCGATAGGTTCAGTGAGAAGATAAATTCTGCCAATTATTTTAATGAAATCACTAACTCATAGAATGTGAAGAAAAATTTACCATAACCAATTAAATATAAACAATTTTCATTTAATTTTTTTTTTTTACTAGGAGAGAGTTCAATAAACAGTTAACATCGGTGAAGCAATTTTTGAGTGATTAGTTAGTTAGACATTTATTGCAATCATAATCATTATCAGCTGTTACAGACCCACAGTAGACTGAGTGCTGCAGACGACGCGGCCATCACTGCAGGAACTAGTGAGAGCTTGCAGGAACGCCAACACAGGCAGGATAGGGTTGTTGCTGACTCGCTCCTCTGGTTCTGCAGGAGTTTCTGCAACTATACAATAACCACTAGTGAAATAAAAGCATTGACTTTTTCATACTGGAGTAGGCCTAGACATCTCATGCACCAACTGTAGGCTATTTTTATTTAAAAAATAATCAAATGAGATCACAGACTGTGTTATAGTCTAAAATCCTATCTAATCCCTTAGTTTTTGTTACCGAGATAGATATGATATAAAAGATGTTAAATGGCACAGTATAGCATAGTGTTATTATGACTATGGTCACAGAAAACATACTACTATAACCCAGAATTCCAACCGCATGGTAAAAAGCATTAAGTGTTTTGAGAGAGCTTTGCCTGTCAATCGTAGGCAGCGCCACCAGCGTTGCTATGCTGAGTGCATGGCAATGCTGGTGGCGCTGCCTACGATTGACAGGCAAAGCTCTCTCAAAACACTTAATGCTTTTTACCATTCGGTTGGCATTCTGGGTTATAGTAGTATGTTTTCTGTGCTATGGTATAGCATAGTGAAAGGGTGCAGGGGTGTAGATGCAGTAATGATGATGTGCAGATGTAGGTAATAGTGGAGTTGTAACTAGAGGTTGATGTAGCAAAACGAGGGAGTAAGAAAGACCATACCTGGTTCAGGTGTATTCTTTTTAGCAGATATCTCTTTCAAAAATGCTCTGATACCACTTTCAGGAGCAGCTTTGGGTGTTATGTTGACTGTGGGCTGATATCTCTCGGAGAATCCATGCAACTAAAAAAAAAAACAATTTGTTATTTCTATTTGAGAGATGGGAAATAGTGGAGGAAAATAAAAGTTGGATGCTCCTAACTGAACTAAATAAAGATTGTTTCAAATTGAAATTGCGATAGGAGAGGATGGAGACTAACCGTCATCAACTCCACAATAATTGAAAAGAAGATATGTGTATGTTTAACGAACCAGTTAAGGAAATCTTGGGCCTACCTTATGAGACAGTTTGCTTCGGTTCGCAAACTCAATGAGCCTGAACTGGTTGATGTTGTCGATCTGGGCTTCAGTGAGAAATAATCCGAGGGAGAACAGTTTGGTGTCAATCACTTTTCCCGTTCCTTCATTGGGAGGACAGCCAGCTTTCCCACCTTATACAACAGAATAATAAACAAGATGAATTAGGTGTTGTGTACCTGGAATTATAATTTACTTAAAGGTGGGATTAGACTTGATTTTCATTTCCTTTCTTATTTACAGGATGGAAACAAGATAGGATTTTTCCTCCAGCAGAAGAAACAATTTTGTTTGAACATTGATACTTTTGTATTACACGGAGGCCGTCGTATATCTGGGTTCGTGTATCTGGGTTACCATCCTGAGTGATGACTCATCTGGTATCGTACAATTCATAACGAAACAAGGAAAGTCCTACAAACATATTTCTGATAACCCATCCTAGGTTGGGTAAAGGTGAGGTCTCAGCATGACCTCCAGGGGAAACAACGACACTCCATGTCAAGTAAAAACCCAAAAATAGGATAAATAGGATAGGGTCTAAATTAATGGAGATTAATGTGTAGGTTAGGTATGTGGGTTTATACCTACATAAAGCAGTACACGCAGTAGTGCTACGTAGTACATGTAGCGGCTAGCTGCGGCGACGCATTCAACTCAATTCCCGTTGACATCACTGCCTTCTGGAAGGCAGAACTCAAAGTCTGCTGATTGTAATTGTGTCAAATTTGGACAGTAAGTCAATAAAAGTATGTTCTTTCCAATTATGCAGTTATTTTTGGTCTCCGGTACAATAATAACTCTAAAATAACAAGTGGCCTCCGTATAGTAAAAAGTACCAAACAATTTTATCTTTATTGATCTATTCTATTTCATCATGTCAGTAATCTGTAATCCGTGATTGCGGCACAGTGCATATTAGTTCCCACAGTTATAAATCATCATAATAGTATCCTAAAATAGCTAGGACATTGTTACCATGTCCTACAATTGAGGAGACATCATCACTGTCACACACCAATAAATCCCAACCCAGGAAAAGTCTGCATCAAATTAATCCTGCACAATGGGAACATATTTTATCAAAAAATTTTGAGATATGTTGTGATCCATTCAATGTTAGTATGGTGTTATTTTGTGTACAATTAGAAGCGTTAATTCTAGTATCTATAACCTTTTCACTATTTATGTTTCTATTGATCAACTTACTAACCTATTGATTTTATTTCAATTGGCCTACATTTCTCAATACTTCTACATAATCTCACCTAACATACGAATCAGTCTTGCTGTTACAAAAATCAGCTGTTCCAAATACATTAGGTTGGTAGCACTGAACCTTTTGCTGTACTTGTCTCTATACTGTACCAGCTGGCTGTATGCATGGGTAAGCTGGAACAGTAAACAGCTGATGAGTAAATATTTTTAATACAGTATATCCAGTAGCCCACGCAGACCAAATAGGTATCTGTATATAATTTTGAAAAATATTACAACAAAAGATTGCAGCTTTAAGTTTTAACAACTTAACCAATACGCTCTCTGGTGGTCAATGGTTTTGGGTTTAGCGACATGCTTGGACATGTCTGTCTAGATGGTTCTTCCGACTAGCTTAAAGGCTTTTGAACTGATAACTGTGTTTAGTTTTGATTTCATTGTTTTTCATTCACCATTTTTGTTTTGTGTTGTATAACATTTTGTTTCGGGTTATGAAATGTCTATTTCACTAAGTTTTATATGTGAAGAAAAAACAAAATAAACACCAGTTAGGTTATTAGATGGACTAATGGGGAGCCTACCAGTAGACCGACAAGATACTTGGTCGTCTGGCCACTAGACCGTCTTTTTTAATTAAATAGAAAAATACTGAAAACCAGTACGTCGACAAGTTATTTCATTGTCAATCCAGTTGACCGGCCTGTAAAACTAAATTATTATATACGAGAAACCCACTTGTCGTCAATCGACCCGACCGACTTACCACTTGCTCGTCTTTTAGGTGGGGATAGGGGGCAGAGTGGGAGGAGCTAACCGGGGATTACCCAGGAGTTTGAGGCGCTTCTCATGGTTGAACCACCTCGCTCGAGGCTAGAAGCCAGTATTGCCAACTGAAAGTACTATAGCTCCGTCGAACACTACACACGCGGCGTGTTTATTGTACAGTTTAATTGACGTTGGCGCGCAATTCTAATACTGTAGATAGTTTCGTCGTCTCTATAGCAACCGTGCCGTGACCTTGTCCTTGGTCTCGCGCATTCCTCTGCCTTTGTATTATTTAATCTGCATCGAAAGATAAGACTCGCTTATGTGCATTGACTATTGAGTCAAATAACAATTTCATTCGGGATTTTTGATCGTTTGTTTGGATAAAACTACGTACCGTATATTGTAGAATCAAATTTGTAGTGTGGTAATATGGTACCTGTGTATAATTATGGGTATCATGGAGGTCAATTTACCTCGTGTATATCAACAAAGTTTAATATCTTAAATTAATCCGAACGATTCATAGTAGCTAACAGGCACAAAGTAGTGTATTATGCAAGATGTAAATTTCAAACATGTGTAAGAGTAAAGTAAGAAATATTCGCAAGTTTACTGCAACAGTAGTTCGTTAGGATTGTCTATTTAAGAAAGTTATTATTACGTGTATAAGCCGTTCATCAAGCGTCATGAGAAAGAAAATCTTTTATAGAAGTGAAAGTGTATATAAAATATCTATAAATAGCTATAAATAAAGTTAGAGTTTTCTCTGTGCATTGTTCAGGATTATGTATTTTTCGGTTATGTTTGAGCTTTTAAAAAGCTTTTAATGTGTTATCTCACTTTCTGTCTGTCTGTTTGTCATGGCCCAGAAGGCATTTTACGTAGTCTTTGCATGTAAAAATGAACAAGAGTTCTTCTCCTGAAATACGAATACGAAATACGATAGGGATTTAAATAGTCTTTTGTGTTCACTGAATTGGCAAGAGTGTATTTAGCCATTAAAACATGCATAGCTACTTTTGAAATAACCTGACTGATGACGTTCAAAACCCAATTTTGTGGATTTTTGTCAAGTTTTCTCCTCATGTCTACCACATACGTCTTTATCAAATACTAATCATCTGTTTGGAGAATACGACATCTATGAAATAACGAACATCTGTTTGGATGGATTATTTATTTCTAGCTGTCACTGATATGTGTAATATGTAGATATCCAATGTGATATGTGTATATCACATTTGGTGGACCAAGATCCATTGGTGGATCTTGCCTCAGATGCCTCTCTCTTTCCTCGATGGTGTATCTTGCCTCAGTTTACCTCCTCTTTCCTCATTGTTGTATCTTAGCCTCTCTCTTTCCTCGTTGGTGTATCTTGCCTCGGATAGTTCCAGACACCGGGCGCTTGGAGCGCTGAAATAGTTTCTTTCCGTAGCAAGTCAACGTCGTGACGGCCGCTACGGCAAAACGGCAGTGTGTGAGAGGCTGCTAAAGTGACAGCATGTCGCTCCCATCGATATGTAATACAATGGATCGCGCTACGTGAGCCAAAACGCGGACGCCCAGACACCATAGTCCGGTCAACCACTGGGGCTGCCGACGTATATCTGTACGTCGTCAGCACGGGTGTGTGGTTTGAACTGGTGTTTTTTGCAATGGTGCTGTTTAGTTTATATTTTTTATAATGAATTGAGTATCATACGTGGGACATGCCATGCAAGTGTGTTCTACTTCTACGATCTGTATTTGTCAGAACAGCTTAAACTATAACGAAGTTAGTTTGTTTTTAGTGAATTTACCATATAGGGAATATGCTATTACCGTAGTACTCATGGTAAGACCTAGACCCGGGACAGATTTAATTTTTTGTTTTGAGGTCCGTAGAGGCCAAAAACACCATCCGTTCAAATGCATATGTATATACAGGGTGTTTTATTTTTAAACTTGCATCTTTATTTATGTAAAAACCGCAATAGATAGAAATATGCAGTTTGCGAGAATCATCTATTGACGTATGGGGCCCAATTTGTTTGAATTCAACGTTAAATTCATATTCCCCCCCCTTCCCCCAACTTAATTTTTTTTAAATAACAAGGTACCCCTTGTGACATATCAAATAAAAGAGCACGAAAAAAGAAAATTTATGATGAAAAAAATTCAAAATTGGTTCATAAATTTGCGAGATATATCCCTCCCCCCTCCCCGGAACTTAATCTTTTTTATCGCAAGGTACCCCTTGTGACATATCAAATGAAAGAGCATGAAAAAAGAAAATTTTTTGTGAAATTTATTTTTTATTTGATACTAGCAGTCATACCCGTCCTTCGTACGGGGTTGGCATAAACCTAAGTATAAAATGATTATTCCAGTTATACTCAAGCTTTGCGTTTGCAATGGGGGAAGACACAGTTTGATAAACTTTGCTTCTTTAAATTTACAGTATACTATAGTATGACATCTACAATAGTCATAATGTTCTACCACTTCACCTAAACAATAGAGAAAAACAAATTTAAAAAATTTGCTAAATATCACAAATTATTCATGAAATCAAAAAATAAACATAACTGTAAACAATCCTAACTTTGACAGTTCTCATTGCTTACCACAGTTTTTTGCTGCTGCTTAGTTCAAATTAGCTGTTTTCATAAATGATAAAAAAAATAATAGTGCTGCAGCCTGTTGGTAAATCTTATAACTTTTAATGCTTTTACAAATCATAGAACCAACTTTTTCAGTTGAAACAGCTGACTAAATTCTTTAATTCCCTTTAAATATGAATACTCATAAGGTTAACATGGGGAACTTCAGAGCCACTGGGGCGGAGCCCGAAAGGATTTTTGAGATAAGAATATGCCTATATGTTAATCGGGAATGTGATCTATCATCATGCCAAATTTCAGCCCAATCCATCCAGTAGTTAATGCGTGATTGAACTTCAAACAAACAAACAAACAAACAAATAAACAAACAAACACACAAACTTTCACATTTATAATATTAGTAAGATGTCACAAGGGGGGTTACCTTGCTATTAAAAAAAAGTTGTGGGTAGGGGAAAAGGGGGGGGGATTATCTCACAAATTCATGAGCCGATTTTCAATGTTTTTTCGCCAAACATTTTCTTTTTTCATGCTCTTTCATTTGATATGTCACAAGGGGTACCTTGCTATTAAAAAAAATAAGTTCCCGGTGGGGAGGGGGGGATATCTCACAAGTTTATGAACCGATTTTCAATTTTTTTTCATCAAACATTTTCTTTTTTCATGCTTTTTTATTTTATATGTCACAAGGGGTACCTTGCTATTTAAAAAAAAAGTTGAAGGCAGGGGGGAAAGGGGGGGAATGTGAAAGTAACATTGAATTCAAAAACATTGTGCCCCCTACGTCAATATATGATTCCCGCAAACTGAATATTTCTATCTATTGCGGTTTTTACATAAATAAAGATGCAAGTTTAAAAAAAGAACACCCTGTATATGTGTGTGTCCGTTAGCGCGATAACTCGAGCAAAAATGATCCGATTTTGATGAAATTTTGTACAATTGTGTAAACCTACGTTTATTCGTACGAGTTCGCGATCCAGCATAATCTGACCATGGGAACGGGATTTATTGGGGGCTTTATGGGGTAAAAATGGGGTTTTCCATTTTTTGACCCTAAAAACAAAATATTTTGCAATTTCTTTTTAAACCGTTTGAGCGTAAAAAATTAATAATTTAGTATACATTGAAACGCTGTTGTATGCCTGACGGTTACGGAGAAAATTTAAAAATGGTATAATTTAAAATTCTCATGTTATTCTTATGGAGAAAATGAAAACTGTTGTAGTTTACTTGTCTATGGGTATATATTGATAAAATTTGGCTAATTAACTATTTCATCCTATACTATTGACATATATGGTCCAAACACACTTTTTACCTTCCCCGTAGCAGCAAACCTAAGCACTCATTAAATCTAATGATATTTAAATTTGGAATAAATATGTCTTATTTATAGAAATATTTTAGTAAAAATGTAATCAGACAAGTTGAAATTCGCTTAGTGTGCAGGTTTGCTGCGGCGGGGGTATTAAACATACGTGCTGATAAAGAATCGATGTAGGGTACACATTGTGTTGTATACGTTATATGTTATGTTATGTTATATATATGGTCGCTCCCCAGTTGAGTGAATTTGATACTTTCCAAATTTCTTCATTTGGAGTAAAACAAGTAGACTTCTTATCCCATTGTAAATCTTAAAGCTCGTGTTCGTGTCTAGTTCATGTACGGTGACACTGGGCGCTATAGTGTCAACAAAATTGTGTTTCTATTACATCTTGATTTGTGCTTTCCTGTTTAGTTATATAAATAGGAGACGAGTTATTGTTTATGATTAGATTGTATTATTTGGTTAAATGA